CGGCAAATTAGAATAACCTGGTTAATACAAATTAATAAAAATCCAATAAAGTACAATAATAATACGAAACATAAAAATAAACCTTTTTTTCTTTTTTTTCAAATTAAACAGAAATAGTGAATTCACACATACTAATTCAAACGTAATATGTACAGGCTGGTCTTAACAACATCAAAATTTTATAAAAATCTAAACACACGAAAACAGAACAGTGAACAAAAAAAAAAAAGAAAACAACTATTTAAAACAGATACCTGATTTTCTAATAAATGTTATGGAATTGGTCACATTTTCCATTTCGGGTGGACAATCATTGTTCAAATAACAGAACATAGTTTTCTCATAGTAGCTGGCAGAACAACAGACACCATTGTTGGTACACAAAAGTAAACAATCTACACTTGATGAAGCCTTAAGTGGTGCGTTCCATGAAACTATTCTTTTATTCGTCTCAACTATAAAAGTTCCTTTCCCAACTTGCAAAAACGCAGCAGAAAATGAAATTTTTGTGAACAGAAACCATATTAATGTCAAGCACGGTGCAAACATTTCTTGCTTTCTTTCTTTTGAATGATTTATATTTCTGCTTTATGCTGAAACATATATAATGTTTAAAGTTTCTAAGCAATCAACTAATATAGGATTTTACCACTGTGTGACACTAACTATAGATCTCAAAATCCATTAACCAATCAGATGAGTGCTAAACAATTCATTTTTCAGTAAATAGACATAATTAAATGTTCCATATATGTACAGGACCTAATTGATTTTAATCCTCATGAATCACATGTTTCACAGCAAACCAAAAAGGGTCTTATAAATATTAGATATAATATCTATACTATTAAATGAGAAGACCTCATTTTGTGTGTCGCTTCTCTTCCTTCCACAATAAATTAATTATCATGCCTCTGTGTCCTATAGGTACCATGCATAGTCGCATTTGTCATCCTCGCTTATGATTATTCAGTTTGGATTATTTTGGGAGGAAAACGAAAATAAAGGCGTCCGGATATTATTTCCGTCATCGGACGGACTTTTAAGTCATAAACAAGACTTCCGTTTAGGACTGTTTTAAAATTACACATAATTTTCATGAGAACTTGGGGACAGGACAATTATTTTCGCGTTTTTCTGTATACTATGATCATACATATAATATAATAGACCGCCGTGGATAGTAAGCTTGGAATTGATAGTAAATAGCAAATACACTTTATTTTATAGTTTATGTACATGTATGTTCATAGTGTACAGAAAAACGCGAAAATAATTGAAATTACCAGAAAACAAAAAATAACGGACTTTGGAAAAAAGGGGAGGGCTAAAAAAATCGTCCTATCCCCAAGTACCTATGACTTTTGATACCTTTCCTGAAATTCTCAAGTCATAAAATCTTTTACAAAAATTCATCCTACAACAGTTAACATACTTTCAACCTCGCTCTAAATGCCCGCGATTTCGCGGTTGTGTTCTAGTATATTCTTTATTCCAAAAGCAATACAGCTTATAGGTATCAAGTTCAATTAAACTGTAGCCAAATTTTCTCGAAAGATACCTGAGATCACTAACGGTTTTTGGTAAGGTTCGTATTGCTCAGCCTTTGGTATTCTATGTTGTGATTTGTTGTTTGATTTTTCGTCGTTTTTCGTTTTTTTGTCATGGCATTGTCAGTTTGTTTTCGACTTTTCCGTTTAAATGTTCCTTTGGTATTTTCGCCTCCCTTTTATACGACTGTATTTTTATAATTATCTAAAATACAAATTTATTTAGTTTATAAAACGTGTAATTCAAATCAAATCGGTACCGCTACACTGACTCCGGGGTTACTTGACAAATTATAACGCAGTGCATCAAAAGATACCATACGAGTAACCGTAGTTAAGTTAATGTATGGTACCTACACATGTATTACGCCCAACAGCAATTTAGGGTTTGGTGTGTTTGAGCTTTTGAATTTGCCATTTACTTAGGGAATTTCCCTCGGAGTTCGGTATTTTTGCAATTTTACTTTTGTCAAATACCTTTCATCAGGTATGCATCAGACAAAAGATATAGAATGTTAAAAAAAAAAGAGACGGAAGATACCAAAAGAAAATTCAAAACTCACAAGTCGAAGAAAAAACGACAAAGCCACGAAAAATGACGATAAGACAAATAAAAGCCTACAAAACGCTACAAAGAAAAACCAAAGACTTCAAGCAACAAGAACCCCGCTAGAAACAGGGTGTTATCTTAAAATATTTGGAAGTATCAATGAAAAGAGTTTTTTTACATAAAACTAATTTGCGTTTTAAAAAAGATTCCTTTGATATTCTGCTAACTTGAAACTAGCTGTGAGTTCTTTTTTCTTTTCTTTTTTCCTCAACATTTCTCAACAAGTAATATTTTATAGTAAGCCCAACGGTGAAAGAAAGTACTGTTTGCGAAAATCTTTTTGAGTCTGTTTTTCGTGTAAGAGATGTCTTGACAAGAAAAAACTAATCAACAGCACTACATAGCAAGATAAAAATAAGAAGATGTGGTATGATTGCCAATGCAACAATTATTCACCAGTGTCCAAATGATGTAGATGTAAGCAATTATAGTTCACCGTACGGCTGTACAAGACTTTTGTTTGTCTTTTTTTCTTTTTTTTTTGCATTTCCGTGTAACATAGATCATAAGGTATTTTACCAGTGAATAATATTTCACAGAAATCAGGTGTATGAAAAGAACACAACGAGAAAACGGAACGACCAATCTATATTTTAGCACGAGTTTAAACACTGTAAGAGGGTTTTAGCACGAGTTTAAACACTGTAAGATAGTTTTAGCACGAGTTGAAACCCTGTAAAATGGTTTTAGCACAAGTTTAAACACTGTAAGGTGGTTAAGCACGAGTTTAAACAATGTAAGATGGTTTTAACACGAGTTTAAACACTGTAAGATGGTTTTAGCACGAGTTTAAAGGAATTCCATGTTAGAAAAAAAGTAGGGGAAGATACTTTAGGGGCAATCAAAAGATAATAGTCAAATAAAAATAAGCAATACATGGTCATCAATAAAAGAGTCCACAAAACACTACACATACAACTATAGACTCAGCATCACGAATGCCATAACATGGGGTGAACTCAGGGGCTCCTTGAGGGTAAGTATTCCCTGCTCCATTAGTGGCAATTGTCGTATTTCGCATTGGATGTATACATTCCGTGGCAAGTTTTATTCGGCGATTTCACAATGAAAAAGGGACGGGATTGCGGCTAAAAGTGAAACACACATTTATCTTTGATCCTTCGAGAAACAGATATTCCATAACGAAAAATATTTATAAAATATGTTACCAAACTTTACCTGAACGTGCATCGATAACGCTACGTTTGTGAATTGCGAAACATAGATTTTGGTAATAATAAGAAATAGTAAACTAAAACGGAAAGGGAAATATCAGAATATTCAATTATAATAATTATTTGCCATCCAATTGCATTGTAAAATATAACCACAATACAAATATTAGGCATTCACTGGCTACATCAGGATATGTTGTGTACTTCGAATTAACAAAATATCATTATGTCTTTCATTGAAAGGCCTAACCACGAAACATGGTTATTGAACAAGAAATTAATTGATGAATGATTTTGTTTTCAGAAAGGAGATATAGAAAGGGCAACGATAACTAAACTACTTGATACATGTACGCCAAAAATACCTTAAAACTGAACACCATTTGCATTTGCAAATTATGAAACGCCTATTATTTCCTTGTTCAAGTTAGTGGTAATGTTGTCGGTAACTGCACTGTGTAGAATTTTCAGTGCGCGATTTGCTTATAAAAACATGTCTAGATAAGCATTGGGGATGTTTCGCGTTAATGAAAAAGGGTTAAACCCCACCTCCAATTTATTCTCTCTGGACCATCTGTTGTTTGTTGTTGTTTGCCTGTTTGGTCGTCTGTTTTTTCTGAGAAGTCGAGTGTCACAAGTTAAACCGATGCGACAATTTTTATAATATCCGTAAAGTGACATTTCAGGATACATCAGTTGTAACATTATAATGCAAAAATAAAACAAAAAATACTGTTTTATGACAATGCTATAGAAATGTCAGTTTTATATTCGTTTTATAGTTATATTCGATAACCAGTTTTTTTAATAAGATAACTATCAATGGCCATGCACTATTGAATATTTGTTTTATAAACTATTATACACAAACCATGTCCTAATATCAAAACAGATAATTTATGACTTCAGCAAAGCAAAGTCATTTATAAAATTGACAGGTGCAAGATTACAGGCAATACTAACATATTTCCAACCTTATTAAAATACAGGTCCCGAGTCTACACTTTGCTTCCCTTGTAAGCGAAGAGTGGTCAAAGGAACTGTATTTCATCCAAACTGAGTATCTTTATGCTACAATCTCTTTAAATGTATAAATATCTCTAATATTTTGTATATTATAAGAAGATACCATCATGCCTACATTAATAGGGCATCCCGAAGTCCTTTATTCCTAGAAGGACTTCGCGTTTATGTTCGCGTTATCGTTCGACTTCATTTCAAAGTTCGAACATCAGTTCGATTGAAACTATGTTGTTCAATTATTATAAATCTAACATGTCTAATCTATTACAATCTTAAATCTTTATTTGTATTTTTGTAGGTCTATGCTGAATTTCCGAGAATACATGCTCACACGAGCTCCCATTGCATATCTAAAACGTATTTGCAAGATCAAAATACTAAAATTGTGAAAACGTTATAGGGAATTGTTTTCTACAGTTTTTCCGTGATGGGCTTATGGTCCCTCATTTGACCACCATAATTTACATTCTGCGAATCTATGGCTGCTTTCCCAGATTCTTTTCTAATGTTTTCATACTGACATTCCATACCTACATGTAGCGTCACTGTAATAAATATTGGCAATAAATACACAAAATCACTCAGACAGAAATAAACCCGTTTTAAAGTATTTTCTTCCGTGTTTGAAATATATACATAAAGGAATTTGTAACATTTTTATTTATCTTAGTCCTAAATGATATAGATCATAGAAATTTTATAACAGAATACACTACGAAATTAACAATTGTATAAGATAATATCTCGTGTCAAGATCAAGGTATGTTTAACATTGTTTAATCATAATAATCGTCTCCTTTCTTAACAGTGGCGACCCCTGTAACAACTGCCGCTACAAGGGAGAGAACTCCGGCTAATATACATATTCCAAAGGCTGGACCAGGCGATCCTTCTTTACCAGTGGCCAATTGGGAACCAAGGTCACTGTACTTAGCTACAAACAGGAAGGCTCCGGCTAAAGCAAAAAGACCTGTAATGTAAATAAATACTTCATATTAGGAGTTGGTAATTTCTTTTGTCAAAATTCCATTTGTCATGTTTTGCATGAATCAGCATCTTAGCTTTCAATTAATTTGTGTCTTTATCAAAGACAGGCCTTTTATGAATGAGGCATATAGGAAAAGTCCCCTTAAATAATTTGAAGTACTTTTTTTGTTTACAATTTCATTATTCAGAACAGAAGGTAAAACGCATTATCCCGTTCTCTTTTCCTCTATTTTGACATCACAAAATGAGACGTCACCGGATTTGTACTTATAGGAGTAACAAGACGGGTGCCACATGTGGAAGAGCAGGAACTGCTTACCTTTCCGAAGCACCCGAGGTCACCCCGGTTTTTTCGAGGTTTGTGTTGGTCAGCCTTTAGTTTTCTATGTTGTGTTTTGTGGACTTGTTCGTCTTTCGATTTTTCCATGTTTAGCCTATCGAATAACATTAACAAATTCAAACGCTCTTAATTCACTTTATAATGAAGTATATGTTCCTGTTGTACAACTATTCGCCTATATTTCACAAACAATTTCATTCCTCATTTATACAGAGACGGGAGACATTTTGCTATACGGAGTAGCAATATTGTCTTGGTTTTCTTTCATATCAAAAATTAATTCAAATTAGTGTCAACGAGGTCGTGTCTATTATATAATCACATTAAAAAAATCCATCAGCGATTATCATAACCATAGACACGCTTCTTGTCGTCTAAAAATTCTTTTTTTCTTCGATGAATTTGTGATGATCACTTAAAAAGCTATCAGATTTTAGAGCAATATAGGAAAACAAGTCAGGCTATCTGGACCTTGTGTTGTTCGTTGTTCTATTTGATTGTTTGAACGCCTAAATTTTCAAAGTAACTAGTGTTGTTGGTTGATGTGGTCTGTTGTACTATCCAACCCTCATAATTCTCTTTATGTTTTATTTGATTCAATGGTGTTTAAATACATCAAACAAATCTACTGACCGAGTTTTAAAAAGAGAGAGGCTGAGATCTAAAATAACCTAGTTCAACTCCTCACACATTGTCATAGGCACAGATGTACAGACATCTGTCTATAGTTATTGTCGAAGACTGTACGTTGCACTCTAGGTGTTTATTTTTTAGTATTTAGTTTAATTGTCTTTTTATGTGAAATTCTGAAGTAGTGTTGAATTATAATAACATTATTTTCTTTACAATTCAAAATTGTCAAAGAAGCTTTTTAAAAAGACGCTTAGATACTATTTAAGGTGGTACCCAACACCTTGACTAATACTAATTTGGCTCGTTTAATTTTCCTAAAAATTTGACAAAATGTTTACTTTGACCCTTTGACAAAAATATAAAAATTTCAAATAATTTGAACCAACCACTTTATCAGAAAAATTTCACTGGTTATATAGCAGTTTGACAAACACTAATTTTGATCATTGAGAATCTTGATATTTCCTTAACAATACAACATGATTAAAACGTTTAGCTGATTTTTACAGAGTTATCTCCCTGTAGTGTTAGGTACCACCTTAACGTTACCTATTCAGAGGTAGATTTTTTCTCTGAAATTTGTGGATTGCATAACTAATAATTACATGCAAGATGCAGTTTATGTTGATTACACTGTACTGTTACAGACCTATTGTCAATTAGCCTTGTAATTTTAGACTAGTTTTTTAAAATATTAATAATGATGTGTGTGTGTGTGGTGGGGAGGGGCTATGTGTGTGAGATTGTGCATATGTGTGTGTCTAAGTTTGTGTCAACACAAACGACTCACCTGCAGCCCCTAGTGTATAAATAGAGGCAGCTCGTACTGCGTACTTCCTTGTGGGTAAAAATACTATATGTACGATAAATGCAATTAGGCAAAGGATCACTCCAAATGCTTCAAATATTCTGGTAAGAAACAGCCATTCTAAAAGAGAATAAAGGGATACTATAATATAAAGAATTCAGAATAATTAAAAAATAACATAAAGAAACATGGCCTAAAAATCTAAGGATACAGAAATGAATACCCAGTCATCCAGTCCCTCATAAAATAATATTAGAGCGTAAAAATATATTTAAAATACTCATGTATTGAACGCCGTTCGGTACCTCCACGCACTTCAAATGATCTCTGGTGGATGCTCATTGGTAATCATACCACATCACCTTTTTATAATTCAAAGTCGGTCAGTTTTTCCATTTTCAAGTTCCATAATGGGAGAAAATAAGCGACGTTTTCATTTATATGTAAATCTTGAAGTTACTATTTATTGAAGTTCATTTTTTTGAAAGATCCTATATTGACAAGTATAGGTGTTTGACTCAACATCCAGAGGCAGATGTTTGATGGTTTGGATAGGGTTTGTAGGATAGAGAACAATGAGGCAAACAATAGAGAATATAAATTAAATGGGCACAAAAACAAAGGAATAGAGAAAAATGGTAAAGTTTGTCCTACAACAAGCCACATACGAAACCCTCCACAAAAAGATTGCTGCATTGTGTTTAAAATAAAGCGAAACATTTATCGTATTGCATGCCTTGTCTCTGAAGTTAATAATGAGAGCACTGAGAGTATGCTTCCCGCGTGCAACAAATAGACTGGACCTTAAAGCCTAGACAAGGGGTCAATGTGGCCATTTTACCCGACCCCAGTCACACATGGGGTTGTGCATATTATTCTAATCTCACCAAAGCGTGATGATCGTCACAGAAAACTTCACTATCATTCGAGTTTGGTTATTTTCCAACTGCAAATTGTTTTATAAACTTGGTCCCTTATAACGATATTGACGGATAAAATTTTAAATGGTACATAAAGCCGCATGTCTGGAAAAATAGATAATTTAGCGGTGATACTCTAGATATAGGCTGATTAAAGGCAACTTATTATTACAAATATTGACGTGTACGGGTAATCAAGAAAACAAACGACAGGACAACATGAAATTTGAAGTTGCTAAGTATATGTATAATTACTGGCAAATTGAAGTTTAAGTAGTCATCTTTGAATCACTTTTTTAATTTGAAATTATTTTAACATGCATTCAAGGTGCTTTCAGACAGGACACGATTTTTTGAACTCCCTCGAAAGTCATCCTGAGCTTATTAATCTGTATTCAATTTGTTTTCAAAATCCCGTGTAACGATATGTCTATATAGCAGGATGATGATTACATTTTGATGTTTAACAGTTTTGTAACGGGCAGGTTCGTGTTGCTCAGTCTTTAGTTTTCTATGTTGTCTTTATATACTGTTGTTTGCCTTTTTGGACATTTTTCATTTTTACCATGGCGTTGTCAGTTAATTTTCGACTTGTTAGTTTGAGTATCCCTTTGGTATCTTTCGCCTTTTTTTATTTAGTATTCAATTATATTGTTGTCTAGAGTTAAAGATCAAGAAATACAGATTAATATATCCGCAATTAATAATAGCCTTGAATGATATATGTATTGTAAGTTTGTGCGAACTAACACTACTTTTTTCAACGGGTTTATGTGTGCATATTTGAGTTTTCTAAATGCGTCATTCGACTGTGTATGTTGATAGATTATTATGATTGAAATGTAAAAAACCTGAATCATATTAAATATTCCCCGTTTAAATCTATTTTCAAGTATTTGTAAAGATTTCTAAAGATTGTTCCTATTAAATAATTATAATTTAAAAACAAATATAACAAAAATGTTTATTTTTACGTGATTTAGGAAACGATTTGACATTTTGCCGGAAGGAGCTATTAGGTTAGACACAAACTTGTTTCATATACAAAGTTAAATTTGTTTTACCTTTACTTGTAAGAAAATACACAGAAGCAATATCTGAGCCGGGGTTTCTTTCATGAAGTTGTCCTAGGACAAAATGTATGTGGGACTAAGTATGTATGCCTTCGCTATGCATCCTGTCCTGAATATTTCACATAATTTCATTGAAATAAGACAGGTCTTAAATTTTGTCACAACTTCGACAACATAATTCCTGTCCCAAGACAAATCATAATAATGGGGACCGAGTGTATACATGCATACGTTTACTGCAAATTTCATAATTACGACGGTCGATGTTATTAGAGAAAGAATTCATCATTTAGAAATGGATAACGGCGAAAAATGAATTTCTGCGGATTTCATGAATAATAGTACGTTGTGCAACACTCAACAATGTGACCTCATCCGTTATTAGTAATTAAGTCATGTACAAGTACATGTAGGAGTATACTTTGATATGTACTAACGTGTAATACAAATGGCTTCAAGTATTCATTTGGTTTGTTCCTTTGTTTTAAGTGGCAAAAACTTTCGTGAAACTACCCCCTGTTTACCAAATGATAAGTTATAGGGGTTAATCCGTGTTTTACATTATTTTTTCATATCATTTCTGCACCAACAAAAAAATCAAAAAGATTTATCAAGATCATTTCAATAGCAAGGTCAATTCTAGTAAAAAGAACTAATAATCTATAATCACAGTATCTAATATGCTTAGACGTTGCGCACGATGTTGGTACGAATTCCATTTTGCTATAGATTAGCATGAAAATAAATACGTAGACTGGTCAGTTCGATAAAAATATAGTGATTTTTGGTTGATTTTATTACATTAGACTTGAAAATAAAGAAAAAAAAGGAACCGAAATTTAAAATATCAAGAATTATAACACTTAATTATCCCATTTTTACGCAAAAACGTAATGTCCAACGTTACATTTTGTGTGCAAAAGATCGGAGTTCCGTTTCTTTCCTACAGTATTTTTTTTTTCTGACCATCGTAAAACTTCATAAGATTATTGCTATTGTTATTGTTATTTGCGTTTTAAAGCAAAATCAATATCACTGAAACCGTAAACCGGATAATGTTATTTTTGAAAACGGTCTGAAAAATGTCCAAGCATATGCAAGGTAAGCATATATCGGGTTTGCGCATTTATACCGTGAAATTGGAAAAGCTGAGAGGAAAAATATTTATAATATTTTGAAAGTTTTTTTACTTTTCTCCTGGTTCATAATATTTTTTTGCCGGAAACCATGCGTATAGTTTCTATTGCAATGACTTCGAAAAGTATAGCCATCTTGTCCCAACGAAAAAAAACAACGCTGTATTTTCTTTACAATTGAGGGTTTAACCGGCTGTATATTAAATAAGCATAGTTAGATCAAAGAAAATAAAACTTGGCGGTAAAAGTTTTTTTCTTTTTCTTTTTAAACAATCTAGTGTTTAACATATTTTCGATAGGCAACAAGATGTTTATATCGTTTCAAAAAGTATAGCCGTTTTGTCCCAACGTTCGCAAAACGTAATTGTTGTCATGCTCGGGTTTTTAATTTTATATCATAATTATTTGTTTCCAGTTTAATTCGAATGAGATTGGTATAAAAAATATCGGGATCTTAGTTTTTTTCAGCACATTCATGACATTTGTTTTATTCAAGGAGCGTTGTCTATCTGCAAGTTTTAAATCATCAAAAGCAACATGCATATTTTTTTTGTTAATAAAATAAAATAGAGACAAACCATTGCTGGCTATTATAACAAAACAAAGGATATGCATAATGGCACAAAAATACGGAAATGAGAAAAACATGAATCCAAAATGTTTAACTACCTAGAAATTTTGCGACAAAGAAAGCATCGGGAAATGATAAAATATAGAAAGGAAACGGAAACGGAAAGAAATGCAACAAAAGGAGTATGTATAAACATGCATTAAAAAGGGAAAATAAAATCAAAATCTAATTTTTACTAAAAAGAAATATGTATAAATTTGGAAATTAATATATGATTCATTAATGCGAACTGCTTCCAAAAGTAAAATGATCAATTATGGCCTGGAAAGACTGACAACTATAAATGAATATTCATTAAAAAAAAATATGTGTACGACCACTTTGAGTTTTATTTGTTAAACTATGCATTTTCAGACAAACCGAAATCGGTTACCAAATTCACAACAGTAAAATGACCTCATCAATTATAGGCTTGAACGCTTGAAACGTTCTTTGAATTCTTCGAAATCGCTTCATTATGCGGAACGTCGTGTAACGCTAAGTAGTACCAACATCGTGCGCAACGTATTTAAAATTAACATATGTACTTTGAAACTCCGACAAAATATTTCCATATTTTTAAACTGTTCGTCAAACTATGATTTTAATTGATATTGTAAATCATCAATTTTCATAGATTAAAGTTGCGAGTTTATGTTAAACAAGGAAAATATCTATCGAAAGAAAAACTTTTTTTTATATACAAATGATTATAACGAATACTGAACAAAATCATGTACAATGTAGCAATATAATCAACAACAGCAAAGTGTAGGACTGAGTGATATTTTCATATGGTGGGCATTTGTGTAAATTTTATGTATAACTTAATCTATAATTTCCAAATTAAATATAGGGGCCTCGGTGGCCGAACTACTGCATCACTAGCCTGTCAACACTGGGGTTCACTCACCGTTGTGAGTTCGAATTTCGCACGGGGCAGGTGCACTCGACTTCAATCTTAATTGACTAGGATTGTCAGTTTTCCTACCGAAGACACACAAATATACTGTGCGTGTTTGTTTATTTATATGTATGTTTTTACTAAATCTTTATCCGTTTATCTTTTTATAAAGATCTAAATATATTAAAGGGACATCATCCTGTTGTCCTAAATCACAAATTGGATTTAATTTTGTTGAAATAAGGCATTTGTGCATCACCTATTTTATTTATTATTATTTCTCTCTTTTTCAAAATGTTCTTCTTGTTTTGGATAGCACATTTGTATTGAAAGAGACAGGGTCTCCACTTTGAAGATCCCTTGGAATTTGTTTTTTTAGGTGTTCTTTGTCGCAAGGCTAAATTTCTTCCCTTATTCAAGGATCCTTCAACTTAGTTTTCAAGTGCAAGTTTAAATATTCCACCTCTTCATCGTGGTCGACCCATTTTGCAGAAATTACCTAATAAATCCCGTTCTCATTCTGAATATTATGCACGAACTATTTGCCACTGGACTTAAAGCAAACAACAATCAATCTAGGTTATACAGCAATCATTATAATTCTCTCTGTAATATTACTTGATTTTAGTAATATTTGTTTTGGTCATGATTTTTTTCGGTTTTTTCTTCCACTTCTGATTTATAACAAATTATCTAAAATTGCCCGTTTATAAATTTTGAAATTATTTAGAAACTAAGGTTTCAACTCTATCAGGCAAAGTTGACCTTATATGGATTTGACTATTTCTTTAGGTTCTTTTTGGTTTATAGCTCTTCAACGTTTTCGGTCCTCATACAACCTTGGCTTTCAAATATTCGGCTTTGAGCGTTCCTAATGAAGGTAAATCCAGAAAAGCGCTTCGGACGCATGAAATTTATAACGTATTGTTTTCATTTTTTTAATGTCCATCATGCTTTCTCGTGTTTTAAATTTGAAATTGATTTGAATCGACTGAACAACTAGACATTTCATTTGACTGAATTACTACTTGTCTAACGTTACAGAGGTGATCTAAATCAGATAAAATATTTAATAGGTAAAATGATGAAACTGATATATGTTGATTGGTTAAGAAACTCCGGGTACAAGTAAACCAGGAAAAATAGAAAAATAAAAAAATATAAATGAATAACGTCAGGTGAAATTATACCAGGAAGAATCATGAGAGTCAAAACAGTTTTAAAATTATACTCTTTTTAATTCTCACCTTTTCCTCCCTCGATAACAACAGCTGTGTTTTCTTTGCATTCTCCAGCAGGACTACACTCTGTTGAAAACAACATTCCATATTCTAATTTTGCTTCAGTAGTATCGGACTTGTAACTCCACCAGTTGGGTAAAAAAAATCCAGCAAATTGAACAATAGTAGCTAAAACAGTCAACACAAACGCTGCAATATCTAAAATCCGGATCTTTGGTTTGGACATATTTAGATATTAAAAAGATAAACCAAGACAAATTTCACACTAAAAAAATACTACAATATTTGTATTATACTTAACATCCTCGTTGAAAACTATCTCTCATAAACCTGACTTCCGTATAAAGGAAATGATCTAATCGTGTCACTTCTCGATTTTAGCTGTGTACTTATTATTTCCGTCTTAGCAAGCCTTAAATAATTAAAATTATTAAATTCGAAAATATGCACATTCTCAAAAGTGTAAGGGGAAATTGAACTCTTGACATTTCAATGTCATTTTTTAATCTTATATACTAGTAAACCAATAGAAATTATACACCCTGTTTTATGGAGAAAGACTACACGTATATATGACATTTAAGTTATTTTTGATTATTCAGTAAACGACTCACGCGCCCTCGGCACTCCTACTGTAATATTACGTGAAGGACTTGAGTTATTGTACATGTACTAAGTATACATGTATTAAGTATTTCGATTCGTACGAAAATAAAATATCAAAATTAATACAATCTATTGCAAATATTATATAAGGGCATTATGATTTTTGTCTGTTTAAGTACGTAATTTCTTAATTATGATAAAAGTAATATTTGAAATTCTAGTTCTTTGTATTGACACTTCTGTTTTAATACCGTGATACACGTTATTATTTCATTTTTTCTTTATTAAATGACACGATTTTCCTTGATGTGAGATTCTAATTATGAAAAAGGACTCGACGGTATACGTATCAATATAAATCCGACACTTTAATTTATTTTTATACAATATACAGATCTCGATGTCCTAAATTAATCTAAATTATGTATATATATAGGTCTATAAAAAGGACCAACCAGCAAATTTACTATGTACCGGGTCGTCTAGAATAGACGATACTGTGCAGATAAGGAAAAAATTATATAAGTCTAATATATTAAGACATATATATAAAACATCTAGATATTAGTCAACGATCTTTCTTACGAGGGCGCTGGATCTTTACGAGTAACGATACCTGTACACAATAAATAAACGCCTAATAAGTGTACAAAAAACACCAATATTAAAAAAGGAAACATTAAATGTAAGTATCTATAAATATTTTAGCCTGGGGTCCTGGCTAATCTTGTCAGTATAGCCTGGGGTCCTGGCTAATCTTGTCAGTATAGCCAGGCGTGTATCAATGTCCTGCCTGTCAATGATTGGTTAATACTAATTTTGTCGCGCAATGTTTGTTTTACATCTGTATCGAATCAATTTTTGTTTAACATCAATTAGTAAAAATTAGACTGTATTTATTTTTCTATATGAATTGATGTACAGTGTTATCATATCTAATTATTAGTGTGATGATAATTAGTAAGCAGAAAAGGGTTAATTCTTATCAGTAATCAACTGGTGAGAAAGTTAAAAGTTTAAGATTTCACATGACCAAGGTGTAAATTGGATTTTACTTTTACGACCTAATTTACATGTACACATGTATCTCAAAGGGCAAAATATATATGGAAAAAAACATAAAAAGTAAAGGCCAACAAAAATTGCAGTTATTTTTTTTTTGGGAGAGGGGTTACATTTCAAATGATGTGTACATGTGCGAAGATACACCATCGTACATCTATTTTAAATTATAATTACATTAGACAATTACAATATTTATTAAATTTGATTTTTGTAAATAAAGAGTTGTTTCGTTGACTCTTACCCCATATAATCCTTCCTGATAAAATATATATTAAATGTACAACATTTTTCAAAGTTTCTTTTGATTACACATACTAGTATTTATTTATACTGTTTAATATATATTTATTTTATTATATTACTGACAATGGGGACTCGTCAATCTGAGAGCAAAATGTATTGAATCAGAAGCAATGTTTCTTAATCATTGGTTTGAAATCTCTGGTTTACATCAAACATCAAAATTTATGCAAATATTTATTCAGCCTCACTTTAGATTCAGAGTCAACTGGCACTGAATCGATCACGTGGTATTTGTTCCCCACCTGGCCCTTGCGACGTGCAGCTAGATCGGGCCGGGAACCCAGGCTATAAATATTTCGGATACCAGATATCCTTTATCAGTATGATTATGATGTACAATGAATCATATCAATCTATTCTGATTTACTGACTATAACGATCTTGAAATTTGTATAATTAAAACCGAACAACGCTTATACAATTCTAAAATTTCAAAAGTGACGTAGGTTGGGTATTTACAACAGAGACTGCATATATAATTTTATGCTTCTATCAGAAATAGTAATGTGAGATTTGAACTGATACATTTTCTAAAATTTCATAGGTGACGAAAGTTAAGTTATTACAACAGAGACTGCGTAGAAATACATTCCCAATGTCGACTGAGAGGAAGGTCTCGGACTGGCTTGCATTCATAGTCGCTACGATGGCCGTTCATACGTTTGTGGAATGGCTGTTCTGACTCGCCAACATACAGTTTACCACATTTACAATGTAGAAGATACACAGCATTTGTAGTCTTGGAATCAACATTGCAAATTAGTATAATAGTCTCAGGTATTCCGTACCAGTGGATTGACTGTTAAAAGTCTGGGTATTCAGTATTTGCATGCGGAAACAAACGACGTCTGACTTGCAAGCAAATACTGAATACCCTGACTTTTACATTCATTCGATACACCTAATATAGTTGACATATTGCTTTGAGTATCTAATAAACTGACAATACCACTTGAATATTAACATTCACCAATAAATCATGAAAATGAGGTCAAGATCATATGAACCCTGTCGGACGGACAGGAGCCTATTGTTCAGTGGTTGTCGTTTGTTAATATGTTTCATAAGTGTTTCTCTTTTTTATATAGATTAGACCGTTGGTTTTCCTGAATCGTTTAACACTAGTCATTTTGGGGCCCTATATAGCTTGCTGTTCGGTGTGAGCCAAGGCTCCGTGTTGAAGGCCGTACTTTGACCTATAATTGTAAACTTTTTACACATTGTGACTGGGATGGAGAGTTGTCTCATTGGCACTCATACCACATCTTCTTATTTATCGGTACACCTTGTAATCATTCCATACACCAAATATAATTGACCTATTGCTTAAAGTATCTGATAAACTGATAAAACCTTGAAAAATTAACATTGACCAATGAACCATGAAAATGAGGTCAAGGTTGTATGAAACCTAACAGACAGACGACATGTAATCTTTACAATCATTCCAAACACAAAATATAGTGGCTCTATTTTGCATAGTATCTGAGAAATTAAAGAAATCCACAAAAACTACACATTGTCCAATGAACCATGGAAATGATGTCAAGGTCAGATGAAACCTGCCAGTCATACATGTACACCTTACAATCATTCCATACACCTAATATAGTTGACCTATTGCTTATAGTATCTGATATACAGACTTGACCACATAAACTTAACCTTGATCACTGATCTATAAAATGAGGTCGAGGTCAGGTGAACCCTGTCTGACATACATGTAAACCTTGCAAGGAAGCCATAAACCAAATATAGTAATCATAATACTAATATATATGTGATAATTTCACATGACAACAAAACTATTTTTTCATGAAAATGAGGAAACGACAGAAATAAACTTCGTAACATAAGGTATCTGCATACAAGGTATGAAGCATCCAGGTCTTCTACCTTTTGAAATATACAGCTTTATACAAATAGTTTACGCTGCCGCATTGTAATCCCCATGTCTCACAATCTGCTTTCGTCACAAAGTTAACTTCAGTGGTAAAATCTGTTTCTATATTGGTTCCACAGATTGTGATAAAAAAAAGCATGTCCTGTGTTACAGATGATATAGGATATGTTTTATTGAGTGTCTCAGACATATGTTGCAGATGATATAGGATATGTTTTATTGAGTGTTTCAGACATATGTTGCAGATGATATAGGATATGTTTTATTGAGTGTTTCAGACATATGTTGCAGATGATATAGGATATGTTTTATTGAGTGTTTCAGACATATGTTGCAGATGATATAGGATATGTTTTATTGAGTGTTTCAGACATATGTTGCAGATGATATAGGATATGTTTTATTGAGTGTTTCAGACATATGTTGCAGATGATATAGGATATGTTTTATTGTGTGTTTCAGACATATGTTGCAGATGATATAGGATATGTTTTATTGAGTGTTTCAGACATATGTTGCAGATGATATAGGATATGTTTTATTGAGTGTTTCAGACATATGTTACAGATGATATAGGATATGTTTTATTGAGTGTTTCAGACATATGTTGCAGATGATATAGGATATGTTTTATTGAGTGTTTCAGACATATGTTGCAGATGATATAGGATATGTTTTATTGAGTGTTTCAGACATATTGGTATCATGTCAAAATCATAGAATTAAAATGTGGAAATTTACAGGGCTCAGTAATCTACAGATGCTGAAATTTGACTAAGCAACTGATTTTTGTCTATAGTTCTACATTATATAAATAACACATAGCAGATTGATACCCCTCGAAAAAGCATTGTCAACCTTGGCTTCTCCGCGGTTGACAATGTTTTCTCGGGTACCAATCTGCTCTTTCACCCTCTCAGCTATGTGTTATTTAATTTATTATACTGAAAGTCCTATCATTATTGTCTTTTACAGATGAATTTTATTCAAAAGTATTTTCTATGACTTCACATACATAACAACGTTACAGGGTTTAGAAGTGAAGCAAGATGTTTTATTTTTTTATTTTGACAGTCAAATAATAGAATCTGAGCCAAAACGTAGAACTAAAGCATTGTCTTTAATAACTTGATGTAATTTCAATTCATTGTCCTTTAAATTATCGATTTTTGATTGGTCTGGACAAGAGGGTGACATTCAAAATGAACACCCTCATATTAGCCAATCAAAATATGGCATTTTTACGTGAAGTATAATAAAATGATATAACTATTGGCTACAGAATTTAATATAAAATAATCAACTCATCCAGGAAAGTACAAATCCATGTAGAATTGAAAGAAAAAAATGTTTGCTGCCATGCAGAGTTGGATAAAACTTGGAACATTGTGTAAATTTCAAAACATATAGTTTGCTTAGAATGGGCTCCAATGGAGGTGACTTTATTGAGCCTAACTTTGCATAAACATTAAAGATACTTTTACAAGCTTAAGGTTACAGATACCATACTTTTAGCTGCACCATGCAGGTTTCTTATTCTCTGATTTACTTTTAAGACATACAGTCTAGATAGGTAAAAAGGGGGTGTGCTTATAAAACTGGTTAAATAACACCACATGCATCTCCGCTAGCTAAGGGTTACAATCCAATCACCTCCTCTCAAAAGAGCACGGAGGGGAATGGATCGTAACCCTTGACAAGCAAAGATGCAGCACATGCTGTGCCTGTACCAAGTCAGGCTATATGTACCATGTGTTGTATGTTTGTTTTTATTTGTACATCTATTTTCTAGTCTAAGTATGATGTTTGGGGGGGTTGCTGTGGTTTGTTGTGCTATCCAATATTTTTGGGTATTTCCTGCTATCTTTTTTATGTATTATCTACACATTATTAAACTACTCAAAGATAATGCTAAAAGGAAAGTTAACGGTTTTAATAAATCTAATCTATTCAAAGATAAAAACGTTTTGTTACAAATATTTAATGTCATCCCGACTATTGAAAAGTTTTCAAATACATAACAAAATCAAAGAAACACACATTTTGCCAATTCAGAATTTACAGGACTTTGAAAATGAAAAAAAAAATTTATTTCATATGACTGATATCCAATTATTTAGGATTTAGTTAACCAATGACATCATTCTGGAATACCATTTTGAAAAGAAATTACCCGAAGTTCATTAGATTCTGAAAAGGCAAATTATGAAATGAAAATTATATTAAATAATTATGTAATACTGATGATAATATATAATCATGGCTTTTGAAGACTTATCAAACATTCTATACAATAATCAAATTCAATTTGATTTAAAAAAGATTGGTGTGCATACAGTTCGAGTAATCTAAGATAAATATTTGAAAACACAACAGAAAAGAGATCCTCACTGGAAACTTCCCCCGCAAATGTTTTTATTAAAAAAAAATTTGCCAAATAGTTATTTTTTAAAAGTACTTAAAAAATCTTTGTTTACCTCATAAATACAAATAAAATGTCCAATAATTTAATGCTTGCATTGAACTATATATATATTTCTTGTTCGGGGTAACACCACACAGCTAAAAATAAGAATTTCTGAACAAGAAGTGACCTGAATCCTCAACTTCATACATTTCAACAATTTCATCATCAGAAAGATATCAATATGTTACCTAAATCCTCAACTTCATACATTTCAACAATTTCATCATCAGAAAGATATCAATATGTTACCTAAATCCTCAACTTCATACATTTCAACAATTTCATCATCAGAAAGATATCAATATGTTACCCAATTCCTCAACTTCATAAATTTCAACAATTTCGTCATCAGAAAGATATTAACATGTTGCTTTACTATCAAAAAGTTTGGTTAAATCTCTGAACATTGCCAAAAATTGAAATTTGAGCTCTTCTAGTGAAAACTTCATTAGGGAGATGTTAGTATTTTATTTTAAGCCCTTATTAAAACAAATAGCCAAGTTATATATATGCCATACTTAAATTACAATAAAGAGTAATCTCCATTCTAATACAAAATACAAGCACAAAACTTTTCATTTCAAATTGTTTTTTTTTTTTTGTATATAAATCTGCAAGACTTTGTTTTGACTTTGGCAGCTATATTGTCTGGTGTAACACATACGCTTTGGCATCAAAAGTAAACACCTACAAGGTTTTTTGGCTTAGTGTTTGATTCAAATTTGAATGAAATTTGACAAAAATGGAGATTTTCAGGAAAGAAATGTGACTATTTTGTTTAGATGGAAGAAATCGCATATCAGTTAAATTTTGGAATTTAAAATGTCGGCTTCCCTTAGTTGCACACAGGATGAATTAGAATTTACACAGTTTGCTATCAAGTCCGATCCATCAACACCAAAAAATTCCAATTGGCTTATTGAATGTAGGTCCATGTTGGTGATGTATAATATTATAGCCAATTGGAGTTCAAAGGTTATAAAAAATCAAAACTAAATGTCGCTCACCTTGGTCTATGTGCATATTAAACAAAGGACACAGATGGATTCATGACAAAATTGTGTTTTGGTGATGGTGATGTGTTTGTAGATCTTACTTTACTGAATATTCTTGCTCCTTACTATTATCTCTATCTATAATGAACTTGGCCCGGTAGTTACAGTGGAAAATACTTTTAAAAATTTACAAAAATTTACAAAATTTATGAAAATTGTAAAAAATTGACTATAAAGGGCAATAACTCCTTAAGGGGTCAATTGACAATTTTGGTCATGTTGCCTTATTTGTAGATCTTACTTTGCTGAACATTATTGCTGTTTACAGTTTATCTCTATCTATAATAATATTCAAGATAATAACCAAAAACGGCAAAATTTCCTTAAAATTACCAATTCAGGGGCAGCAACCCAACAACAGGTTGCCTGATTGGTCTGAAAATTTCAGGGCAGATAAATCTTGACCTAATGAACAATTGTATACCATCAGATTTGCTCTAAATGCTTTGGTTTCAGAGATATGAGCCAAAAACTGCATTTTACCCTATGTACTATTTTTTAGCCATGTCGGCCATCTTGGTTCGCGGGCTGGGTCATTGGACACATTTTTTAAACTAGATACCGTAATGATGATTTTGGACAAGTTTGGTTAAATTTGTCTTAGTAGTTTCAGAGGAGAAGATTTTTGTAAAAGATTACAAAAATTTACGAAAAATGGTTAAAAATTGACTATAAAGGGCAATAACTCCTTAAGGGGTCAACTGACCATTTTGGTCAAGTTGACTTATTTGTAGATCTTACTTTGCTGAACATTATTGCTGTTTACAGTTTACCTCTATCTATAATAATATTCAAGATAATAACCAACTAGAGGCTCTAAAGAGCCTGTGTCGCTCACCTTGGTCTATGTGAATATTAAACAAAGGACGCAGATGGATTCATGACAAAATTGTGTTTTGGTGATGGTGATGTGTTTGTACATCTTAATTTACTGAACATTTTTCCTGCTTACAATTATCTCTATCTATAATTAACTTGGCCCAGTAGTTTCAGAGGAGAAGATTTTTGTAAAAGATTACTAAGATTTACGAAAAAATGGTTAAAATTGACTATAAAGGGCAATAACTCCTAAAGGGGTCAACTGACAATTTCGGTCATGTTGACTTATTTGTTGATCTTACTTTGCCGACATTTATCGTTTTTTACAGTTTATCTCTATCTATAATAATATTCAAGATAATAACCAAAAACAGCAAAATTACCTTAAAATTACCAATTCAGGGGCAGCAACCCAACAACGGGTTGTCCGATTCATCTGAAAATTTCAGGGCAGATAGATCTTGACCTGATAAACAATTTTACTTCATGTCAGATTTGCTTTAAATGCTTTGGTTTTTGAGTTAAAAGCCAAAAACTGAATTTTACCCCTATGTTCTATTTTTAGCCGTGGCGGCCATCTTGGTTGGTTGACCAGGTCACGCCACACATTTTTAAAACTAAATAACCAAATGATGATTGTGGCCAAGTTTGGTTTAATTTGGCCCAGTTGTTTCAGAGGAGAAGATTTTTGTAAAAGATTACTAAGATTTACGAAAAATGGTTAAAAATTGACTATAAAGGGCAATTACTCCTAAAGGGGTCAACTGACCATTTCGGTTATATTGACTTATTTGTAAATCTTACTTTGCTGAACATTATTGCTGTTTACAGTTTATCTCTATCTATAATAATATTCAAGATAATAACCAAAAACAGCAAAATTTCCTTAAAATTACCAATTCAGGGGCAGCAACCCAATAACGGGTTGTCCGATTCATCTGAAAATTTCAGGGCAGATAGATCTTGACCTGATGAACAATTTTACCCCATGTCAGATTTGCTTTAAATGCTTTGGTTTTTGAGTTAAAAGCCAAAAACTGAATTTTACCCCTATGTTCTATTTTTAGCCGTGGCGGCCATCTTGGTTGGTTGACCAGGTCACGCCACACATTTTTAAAACTAGATAACCAAATGATGATTGTTGCTAAGTTTGGTTTAATTTGGCCACGTAGTTTCAGAGGAGAAGATTTTTGTAAAAGATTACTAAGATTTACGAAAAATTGTTAAAAATTGACTATAAAGGGCAATAACTCCTAAAGGGGTCAACTGACCATTTCAGTCATGTTGACTTATTTGTTAATCTTACTTTGCTGAACATTATTGCTGTTTACAGTTTATCTCTATCTATAATAATATTCAAGATAATAACCAAAAACAGCAAAATTTCCTTAAAATTACCAATTCAGGGGCAGCAACCCAACAACAGGTTGTTCGATTCATCTGAAAATTTTAGGGCAGATAGATCTTGACCTGATAAACAATTTTACTTCATGTCAGATTTGCTCTAAATGCTTTGGTTTTTGAGTTATAAGCCAAAAACTGCATTTTACCCCTATGTTCTATTTTTAGCTGTGGCGGCCATCTTGGTTGGTTGGCCGGGTCACGCCACACATTTTTTAAACTAGATACCCCAATGATGATTGTGGCCAAGTTTGGTTTAATTTGGCCCAGTTGTTTCAGAGGAGAAGATTTTTGTAAAAGATTACTAAGATTTACGAAAAATGGTTAAAAATTGACTATAAAGGGCAATTTCTCCTAAAGGGGTCAACTAACCATTTCGGTTATATTGACTTATTTGTAAATCTTACTTTGCTGAACATTATTGCTGTTTACAGTTTATCTCTATCTATAATAATATTCAAGATAATAACCAAAAACAGCAAAATTTCCTTAAAATTACCAATTCAGGGGCAGCAACCCAATAACGGGTTGTCCGATTCATCTGAAAATTTCAGGGCAGATAGATCTTGACCTGATGAACAATTTTACCCCATGTCAGATTTGCTCTTAATGCTTTGGTTTTTGAGTTATAAGCTAAAAACTGCATTTTACCCCTATGTTCTATTTTTAGCCGTGGCGGCCATCTTGGTTGGTTGACAGGGTCACGCCACACATTTTTAAAACTAGATACCCCAATGATGATTGTGGCCAAGTTTGGTTAAATTTGGCCCAGTAGTTTCAGAGGAGAAGATTTTTGTAAAAGTTTACGGACGACGGACGACGGACGACGGACGCAGGACGACGGACGACGGACGCAAAGTGATGAGAAAAGCTCACTTGACCTTTCAGGTCAGGTGAGCTAAAAACTGCAAAATTTCCTTAAAATTACCAATTCAGGGGCAGCAACCCAACAACGGGTTGTCCGATTCATCTGAAAATTTCAGGGCAGATAGATCTTGACCTGATAAACAATTTTACCCCATTTCAGATTTGCTCTAAATGCTTTGGTTTCAGAGATATAAGCCAAAATCTACATTTTACCCCTATGTTCTATTTTAAGCCATGGCGGCCATCTTGGTTGGTTGGCCGGGTCACCGGACACATTTTTTAAACTAGATACCCCAATAATGATTGTGGCCAAGTTTGGTCAAATTTGGCCCAGTAGTTTCAGAGGAGAAGATTTTTGTAAAAGTTTACGGACGACGGACGACGGACGCAGGACGACGGACGCAAAGTGATGAGAAAAGCTCACTTGACCTTTCAGGTCAGGTGAGCTAAAAATATAACAAAGAAAAAATAATGAAATCTAGTAAATTTTTTTCTAGCTAAACAAACCAAACAGTTTTCCTTAAATACAAAATAATAAATTTAAATATATATATAATAAAAGGCTACAAATAAAAACTGTAATTCAGAAATTGTTTCATATATCAACTATTGAGATTCTTGATCAATGGACAAAATTTATTTAAATTTTTGTGATTTCAGAAAATGCTGCCTATAAATTAATTATATAAGCAATCATAAACTGAAAATTAATATTATAGTGCAATACTTACTCATCCTGTCAAATAAAAACATTCAATTTTTTGAATTTAAAACATTACAAACAAAACACAATGCGAATAAACGGAGTATTAGTCAATGAGACAGCAAAACAACAAGAAAACAACACAAATAACCAAAAGATATCTAGAGGTCAACAAAGAGTCTTAACAACAGATAGATTTACCTGTACCTCTATCAATAACCATAAAAATAATTATAATGAAATTTTCGTCTTTAATAAACACCATAATGAACCAGGGCTTCCAAAAAATATTTGAGACAGCCCAACAATTTTTTCCCTTTAGACAGGTTCCCCCATAACAAAAGATTACAAAACATATCCACAACAAAAACAATCCCGTTTTTTTATCCCGTTAGACAGGTTCCCCCATAACAAAAGATGGACATAACCATATGATAACGCCATTAAGCTATTAAAGGACAATAAACTTCATAGACTTCATACTTTTTCAGTTTAATATAAATTCCATGTTTGACATTAACAATCAAATTGATAGTAGTGTATGGTTAGAATTGGCATATATTCGCAGACTTAACAATGTGTATAAGCATATAAGTCAGTCGAGGACCAGCTTAGTTATTTGATAAACACGTTTAAGAATGCAGAACAGAGACAGTTGTGCAAAATCCATGTATTTTTATCTAGCATTGTTGAGTTTAAGCAGTTCTTTCCACGTTATTTCTTAGGGAAAATACTAGAGATGAACTTAAAATAATGGTATATAAATGACATTTTTATCGTTTTGGATGAATTTGTACGCATTATTAAATAATAAATATCACACATGTGCACATTTGTAATATTTCAATCGATGTGGTTCTGTCTCTTAAACTTTTTTACCACCTTTGTAAATAAATGATCTTTTCGTTTAAATAAGTTTTTCTGATAGTCTAAATCAATTTTGTTAAAATTAGTTAGATTTAAACCAGTAATGTTTTTAATTTTAATAAAAAAAAAAAATAACTTCCAAAAAAATCAATTGATGTCCTGTACAAATAATTAACCTGACACAGGTGATCACAGCTGGTAAATCTCACCTGTTTGACACTTAATTAACCTTGAATGCAATGAGAGGGGATTATAGTAGGGGCTTGTTTATAGAGTACTGTCACTTATAAGATGGGAAAAGTGTGGCTGATTAAGGCACAAGGTCAAGTCAAAATGGTTGATTTTTTTGAATTACACGAACGTTGAAATGGCAAACCCATGTAGGATGTCCAATTCATGCTTGGTTCAGACGAACAATGTCCTATAGATTTATATTTGTCCAGCAAATGTGACCATTTTGGAAGCCCTGTAATGAACAAATATTAAGGTTGTCAAAACCCCAGTTTTATGAGTATATCCCAGTGGGATATAGTTTATCCTTATAAAATGTACATATTTAGCAATAATACTATGAAACTAAAGTATTTCTTTATCATTTTGTGTTAAAATACCTGTAAGCTTAGTAATCATATTGCCTGTTATTACTCATTTCATAGAGTATTGCCCAGCCGGGGAAAACTTGCGACCCAGTTTTTCCACCCAATTAATACTTTGCCGACATATATCAATTCTTAAACATGTTAAACAATGTCATAAAGTGCTATAATCAAAACATAGACTAGTAAAATATGCAACAAACCATGACTAGCACATTTCAACAATAGAGCAATTTGATTTTTACTATACAAAAAAACAATAAATTTAATAATGAAGTTGACTTTTGCATTGTGAATACAACAGAATACATTTCAGAATCTTACATGAATGGGTCCATGGGTTCCATTTTTACTGATTTCTGAAGAATAAGGATGCCCATTCATGAGACAAAGAATAGTCCTGAAACAGACTCCAGATTCTACAATTTTGCCAAAATTTTTTAATAAATAAAAAAAAGACTTGATTTTACTTGCATATTTATATGGAAGTACATGTTTATTGAACAAACAAATGGTATGCCAGATAGCTTTATGCCATTGCATAGATTCAGAAGATTTAATTTGTGGCCCATTCAAACTAGTATCAATTTAGTAGCATATAAAAACAAAATTGAGTTATTCCCCTTTGAAAATTTCACCTTTCATCTCTAACATGCATCCTCTAAGCATTCTTAGATCTTAAAACATATACAATTAATAAATAAATACATATATAATAAGTGCCAGTCTGCCTAAGAATCAGGCAGTGGTGAAAACATGACAAATAAAAATCCACTGAAGTTTACATTGATTTCAGTTTATAATAGGTAGTAATGCATGAAAATAACTTTCTTTTCCGTTTCCCGTTCTGGTAATAGAAGATACAATTTGGTTGAAATGCACTATAAATTAACAGTTAAGACGAGATAACTCCCTAATTTGCTATCATTCTAACCAAAACTTATCTTGAGTTATTTTGAATTACAAGACATACAGAAACATAAGACTTACTATTTCTAGCTCAGGATGATGGTTTCTTCAAAATAGCATGGTAAGGTTGGAAGGTTTTTTTCTGACCATGTTTTGATTTATATTTGAATTGCCAATTCCTCACAAAGACTGGCACTTAAACAGTTTTTAGTGCAAGTGCTTCAAGTGCTTTGAAAAGTAAAGTTTGCATGAACAAGATCGACTTTTTTTCAACATCTATTATAGCTTTTTCTTAATTAAATTTACCAGTATATAAAAAAAATATATAGAGCAATAGAATCCTTTCTATTCAATGGAACTGTTTTTTTGTTATGAAACAAGACATGTTTGAAAAAAAATATAGAAAATGATTCTTGTATAATAAATATTTACAAAAACTTTATCTGCATCATCAGGGTTTCAAAGTGTTATTTATGGTTTCAAATACCCACATACAACCAACATCTAATTTGAACACATTGTATCTACAAACATTTATCCAAGTCCTGTAATGTTTAAGAACATATATATATGAACACATAAATACTATAAATGGCACCAAAGAATTCTAAATACAAGCTTTTTGTAAAATGATCTATAAAATGTATATTTATGAACACTTTATTAACAACCATATATAACTTATGTATTGCACATATTATTGAACACATTTATTATACAATTTTGTACTTGCTTCAAGTATTGTCAGATCAGATGATGTAATTGTATTTGCTTTGTTAATACAAAATAAAGACTATAAAATAAAGCTACAACCATTATTAATAGCACAAATAAAGTAATAAAACTTCCACAACCTGTTTCGGTTACAGGAACGATTTCAAAAAATATTTTTACCTTTGTTATTCCAAAAATTTACAAATATACATAAACAATATTATAAATCAACACACATTTTGACAATTTTCCATAGCTGCCTTTAAATTCTATGGTTTCCAAATGAGTTTATTAACTATCTATATATGTTAAATAAAAGTATATGATTTCTCATACTCATTTAAAGAATACATGTACTAGCTGATATACATGTATGAACATGCTATTTTTTAATATAATCCCAAAATCTTCATGATGTTACTAAAGGAACAAACATTAAATACATAATCAAAATATAAAACAATATATGTTGTAAACCCAAAACAATTTTAAATATAAATTATGGGTGTCAGAAATAAATTTCTCAAAAAAATTTTACGACTGAAATTGATCGTGTCTTACACAATTCAGTATATTTACGATCAATTTTAGTCGTAAGTTTTTTTGTGACACATTCCAGTGTCCTAAGAGTAAGACCATTGAAGACCAAGAAAAAAATCTTGTTACAAACTTCAAAAGGTACAGTTGATTCTGCCCTTTTTATAACTTTTCTATTTGATATTTTTATCTGAATGTCTATTTGGAATAGAATTGAAATCTAAATAATCATGATAATCAAATACATGTATACCTGCTATTAATGACAACCTTCTTATTTATTTTTCATCATATGAATAATAGTTTTATAATGTAATTTCTTACTGTAGGTCATGGTTTTTATATGGAAAGTTGCATCAGATTTAAAGGAATCAACATTGCATAGTTCATAATCAGTCAAGGGTCTAACTTAAGTAAGTTATTAGAGAAAAATAACATACATGTGTTATTACAGATACTTTCATGAGTTGTCTGCTCTTTATTTCTTAATCTGTAGTAACATATGTTTGTTATTAGTTAATATATTAAAATATATTTTTATTTTTAGTGGGCTCTTGGGATTTCTTGAAACTTTGCGCAGAAACTTAATGCATGACCTTGATAATTAATTTTCCAATTCAATTAATACATTTTTGATCAACCATGGTAAATCAATGAGACAAGGCTTTTAAGGGATACACTAAGCTTTAATAACAAGGCATAGTTATTATAGGCATGTAACTTATAAAATGAGACACTTGGGAATTACTGGGAAGCTTGCTCAGAACCTCATTACATGCTCTGATTATTATTTCTTACAATGAATTAAAATACATTGTGATATATGTCTGAGAATTGGCTTTGAAGAGATGTAGAAAAGCTGTTAAAACACCCTTTAGTTATTACAGGCATATATTTTCTGTAATAACATAGGTGTACTATACATGATTGGCAAATTATAAACTGTTATATCTTTCTAAAGTATAGTATACATAAAGACAACAATAATACCAATAGAACTTGAACAAAATAAAGGATGTATATTGCCTCTTTGAAACATATATCACAGTTTTTTGATATTTTAGCCCACAATAACGACATGTATGTTATTTTTCTCTAATAACTTATTTGAGTTAGACCCTTGACTGATAATGTTCATGTAGTTTTTTAGAAGCTCAGAAATTGTCTTTTATTGAGGTTTTTTATCACCTATTGATATGGGATTGGGTAGATAACCAAATACATTCCAATTGTGTCATCATTTCTTTGTTTACAATGGTTTATGTATAAACATCATGAGCATGAGGTATAATAATATAATATTTGAAATTCTCTTTGTAACATATCTGTTTAAAATTAAGCATCACAAAATCAATTTATCAGCTTTCAGGTAAAAAAAAAAAAGGCTGTGAAAAATAGCTGATTAAATACTGGGAGAAGGGAGATAACTGTATTTCTTAATTGCCATGCTGTATCAATAATCCTGTAGAGTAACAAATAAAAAGATTCGAAAAAGAAAAGTATTCATTTTGAACACCCTGTGATCACCATAGCCTATTTATAGGTTGTGGTCCTCGACTTTTTATGTTCTTAGCACCAATCCTAATTTTTTCTCTACCATCATCAGCTTTGGTTTTTAACTTTTATATATTTAAATTTTTGTGATTTTAAGTAATATTGTAAATTTTAGCTTTAATATTTATATCTAATGATCAATATTAAGTTTATCTCTACACCCTGTTCACTATAAAGGATTTTTAAACTCTGAACCACAACAAAGACAATGAAATACATGCAGTATAGATGATATAAAAACATGTATGAATATGATTCACTGTAAACTTCCGAGCAAGCTTTAATATTTTTAAAAGAGTCTTGATGAATTAAAGGTCTTAAAAAGGATCATACATATAGTTTAAAATATTTCTTAAATAAAGCGTAAAAAAAACTATCAAAATTATGCTTCTTAAATGAACATTACTTAATAAATTTTATATGACCCTTGATGTACATTATTTTTATTTCACATTACAACAAATCATTCATTTGTACCATGATCTAAGTCTTCTGATGTGTCTACTTTCTCTTGTGAACTAACAGAACTGTGTTTCCTATTATCTGTTTCTGTGTTGTGGTCATTCTGATTAAAATCTGGTGTATTTTTAACATCAATGTCAGAGTCCTTGACTTCAGCTGTCTCTTTCAAACAGACATAACTTCCACTTTTGTCATTTTCAGCTTTTTGAGATCCTTCAATACTTGATTTACTACTTTTTGATGAACTGCTCATGTTCCCTGAATTTACACAACAAACCTCATTTACAGATTCATCGTTATTGGTATCTTTATCTGAATCGTGGCTTTGTTTTTTGTCAGCATTTAAAACGTCATCGATATCGCTGTCAGATCTTTCAGGTATTGTATGGAGACGCAAGCTACGAGATCCAGCACTGTCTTCAGATTCAAAAACATCATCAACACCCTCAGGTAGAAGCCGTCTCTGTGGCTTGTATAACCTTTTGCGATAGTAGCGAGAGTATTTTCTAACATTGATGTCAATCACACGACAGCCTCGTCTTGGCGGTCTTGGCAGAAGGGCACTAACATCTTCTTCATCGTAAGATGTGTGATGAGGTAAACGTCGAAAAACTACATATTCATTTCCAAGTTCAGCATTCCCTATTTTAATAAAAAGATAAATATATGCATGATAAAAGAAACAATAAAACCTTGTTGTTCATTGGATAGATTGATATTGTTGTTAGATTTTCTGCTTAACTTTCATCACGTTCATGTATATTCCAGAAAAAAATAATATGGGAGTTGATGGGTTGGAAGGCACTTTTTGTATGGCCATCGCCCATACAATTGCATTTCACTTTGCATACATTACCACACAATTTGAACTCTGTGACCTGCCCCCACCCATACAAAAATAATTAAAGTGCCATCCAACCCCTCCATATATTTTTTCTGGAATATATTATAGCCCTAAAGCCTTAATTTAAAACTTGACCTGTTGATATCTACTAAGTTATTTGATAATCTAGTGTTGTGAGGTTGCTTGCTAGTTGACAGTTTCCTACATATATTTTTATCTACATGCATGTTGATTTATATACAGTCGAACCTCGTTGTGTCTAACTCTGTTGTGTGGAAAACTTGGATGAGATGAAGTTATTGCTCAGTCCAGGCAAAATTCCGGTTTAATCAATGCATTTTAATCTCTAATGAGTCGAACTCGGTTGATTCGAATTCTCTGTTAAGTCGAATATTTTTGTTAGTCCTGTCGATGGAAAATTAATGTAAATTGGCCCTGATGTCTCAACATGCTCAAAGTTCAAAAGTAAAAAAAAATCGAAAAATGTAGACTTTATAAAGTAAGAATGTGACAATGTCCTTTATCGTCAAGCGTCAAACGTCCCTTTTTTGCTACCATTAGTGTCAATTAAGTCTTCATTTTTTTCATCATTCGTCAAATCGCATTCTGTAGCTACCATTAGCGTCAATTGAGGAAAAATGTGTATCGTTAATATTATTTTAATAAATATTTTATTTTTTTTACCATCATTTGTCTTGTAGGGTACCCCATTACTACCCTCTTTAAACCTTTGTTGATTCTACAAGCGGAACTTTAGTGAGATAAACATATTTAACTGGATACAAAAATGAAACAAATTCAAATGACCCAAGCTGAGATTAAATGAATCTTTTGAATTGGAATTCATTAATTTCAATAATTGAAAGGATTTAGACAATTATCATGATTATGACAAAATTACAATAATTGAATGCAAAGCAGACGACCCTCATCCATGATCTTACATGACTTGTTTCTTTCCGCAAGTGATTCAATAATTTATAGATACTGACCTTTGTAAATATCATGAATATTTGTATATTGATTTTATTTGTGTATGTTTTGAAACTGAACTTGTGTGTTTAATTATTATGATGGACCAAACAATATGGAGCTTGAATACACAATCATAAATTGTTATATCAAAACAGGAACAATGTTCAAAACATCTAATTTACACAAATCTCATACCGTATTTCATCATGTTCATGCAATTAAAATGTATTACGACACACTAGACCTCGGACGAGTCCAATACTCTCGACCAGTCCCTTTGACTTTGACTCAACAAGGTTATCTAATTATTGTTGCTTGCTTCTATTGTATGTTATATAAACAGAGCAGGCAAGTCATGTATTTTGATATTACCTAATCTGTTCTGAAGATTATCATACTCTTTCATGCTATTCTGTCTCCTCCTCCACAGGTATAGTAGCACTAATGTTGAAACAACTCCTAGTAAGCCGAGGACACCAGTCAAAGAATATGACAGTGTCTTCCAATTTGCAATGTTGACTTTTGTGTCAGGAACTTGTATTGTTGCATCTTGTTCTTTATATTTGGTGTTGCGGTTTCTGTCTTTGGGTAGTTTGTCAAACCAGAATTCTACGCTGGAGATATATTGAAGCAAGTGACTAGTGTTCTTATAATTAAGACTAATACAAACAGAGTCGTTAAATTTGGCACATTCAGAGAAAAGTACTTCAAATTGTCGACAAGTTTTACATCTAGTACATTCTGATGTCTCTAAGTTGAAGAAATGGTACTCATCGCATGTCTGTGTCATGGAAGATGGTGGCAGGAATATGACTAGCATCAGTACAACAAGTTTAATAATTAAAATCATCCTGAATAATCTAATGTATATGTTCTTCTGAAAAACAAAACAAAAATTGAAATAGGGTAATAACAAATATATAAGTTTGCTAACAAAATACATATACAACATATATATATAAAAAGAATAGGCACAAATCATACCTTTGTTGTCTAGTCTATTATTCATGTTATTAGCCATGAACAGTGGTTTATCCAGGAATTTGAAAGAACGTGGCACTTCTATTTTTTTTTCTTTTTTGTGGATCCGGATCAGTCAGGGGTACTACTTAAACAAGTGATTTCATTATCACCTATTTCAGTGATTTGATAAATTCAGTTATCACCTATTTAAGTGATTTTGGTGTTTCCTTTGATCTTCAAATGCTAATTTCATTGATTTTCCATATTTTGACAAACTTTTCTATAATTTTCCTACATAGAACTAATTATCCCTTTCTTTTGTATATCAATTTCACCAGTGCGCTTAGACAGTAAGTTACATGTAGTGCGCTAAAGCTTTTAAAAGTACCCTTGGGAATTTTTCTATAATCAAATATTCATTAACTACTCTTACTATCAGACAAAGGTCAACAATATTAGGTAACCTGATTGGTTTTCTTTAGAGTTATAATGACCTACTTCAAGGTTATGTCCTGATCTACAAATTATTCCAGTTTTTGCATTTTTAAATAAACTGTAAAAACTGACAGGCTTATCAAGCAAAAGACAATTTCTGCATGTACATAGTTGTTTTTTCAATGGAATTCTTGTCTTTTTACCAATAAAAAAGGCAAGCTTGTAGGAAAAATATCAAGAAAATGTTATAAACACTTGTTGAAGTGATTACATTTTAACTTCTCAAATTACTTGTTTCAGTGATTTTAAAAAGTCTGTGTCTATTTTTGTGAAAGTTTTTAATATTTCACAGCCAAAATCACTTGAAGAAGTGATTCTGAAATCACTTGTTTAAGTAGTACCCCTGACTGTGGATTCAATTATTTTTCCATGTAATTTCTTGGTACATGTTATGCAGTTTTTTAGAATATTTGTGAAAGAGCAGACATACATGACATACATGTAGAAATCTTCTTTTTGAGGCTGACAACTGTTGTACAAAGGACTGCTATGTTGTTGTTAGCAGATGCCATTGTACTATATACATGATATAGTGGTTGCCTTAATTGGATATTTTGAAAATGAATATGAATTCTTATTGATTTGAATTTGTTTTTAATGGTTAGTATATACGTGCTTATGTCTTATTTAAGAGATAACTGTATTGTATTTGAAGCTTTGCAGATGTCCATTGCATGCATTGGTAGTATTACTGTCGCAAATTGAGTTTACCTGGCGACGTGTAACAGAGACAGGTAAACGGATATTTGCAACAGTAAATAATTTTTGAGGAAAATTTAAATGAGCTACATGTACTAACATGACTAAAAATGGACAAATTAACATGAAGAATAAAAGGTCAAAAATCTATTCAGAACAACCCAGATGCTACCTCCTGCAATCTAGATTTTTCAAAATTTTCCACAAACCCCCAGCTTAACGAGAAGGGGGGATACCTTACGGCCCTCATGATTGCCTGCTACTTTTATTTTTCTTCCTCTTCTTCAAAAACTTATTGAGAACACTGAATGGATTTTTAAAATCTTTCAATCATTTTAAAGCTGAAATATTACTCTTTCTTAATTTATAGATAAAGTTATTTTTGGTATTATCAGCTGATTATCAATTAAAAAATGGGGAATGTGTCCATGGGACACAGATGATGCCCCCACTTGCATATAACGTTATAAAGGAACATAACTCAAGAACGGTAAAAGTGACGCTACCCAAATTCATACTTGATTTGAGTTTTGTGGTAATAAGCATTGTGTATAAGTTTCATAACATTTAGTTGAGGCAAACTTAAGTTAGAAAACGGAAACGAAAAATTCGACAATTTTTCCATTTGTAAAGGGGCATAACACTAGAACTGTAAACATGGTAAAAGTGAAACCACCAAAATTCAAACTTGATCTGTGTTTTGTGGTAATAAGCATTGTCATGATTTTGTAGAAGAGCATAACATTTGGTTGAGGCAAACTTGTTAGAGAATGGAAATGAAAAATTCAGCAATTTTTCCATTTGTAAAGGGGCATAACTCTAGAAAGGTAAAAGTGACGCCACCCAAGTAGCAAGTGGGTACAGAAGTGGGGGAAGGGGAAGGGAAATTTGAAAGTAGGGGTAGGGAAGTGGGAATCAGGGACCCCCTGTCCATCCCCTCATTTCAGAAAACAGCTCTGACCCACAAATTGTAAAAGTAAAGTCAAAAGTTTTTGAAATCTTATTGGAGTCATATATATATGCCAGTTCCAAGATACAGTAGTTGGGTATATCGATCATATGGGTTCCATCACCATGTGGTCGGGTCCATTTGCTCTCAATACAAGTTTGCACCCTACACGTTTTATTTGATGTTTTTCACATAATGTTACATGTTTTAGATGTATATTTATCAAAATATTTATATTTTCATAAATTCAGAATTTCAGAATTTTTAAACATGTTAAACAAAATATTTTTTTAATAAATGGATGATTAAATATAATATCATAATGAATAAAATGCTCCGCTGGGGCGCAGCTTGATACGACCGCAGAGGTCGAACCCTGAACAGTTGGGGCAAGTATGGACACAACATTCAAGCTTGATACAGCACTGAATTTGGATTGTAATTAAATATTTGACACAGCATAGGTTTCTCACACAGAATGAAAGTGGTCTAAGAACTTAAAAATTTCTTAATTTACCTATTCAAACCATATCATTATTATTTGCTTTTATAAATAAATCAGAAATAACCAATTTAAAATGGAAAATTTTCAAGAAAAAAAAAGGAAAAAAAAATCCCCCCCAAATTTTTTGAACCCCCTTATGATTCATCACCCCAAACTCAATCCCAGCCTTCCCTTTGTGGTATGGTACCTTGCAGCACAATTTCAGAGAGATCCATACACTTGAACACAAGTTATTGTCTGGAAACTAGAAAAATGCTTGTTTTTTGGCCCCTTTTTGGCCCCAAATTCCTAAATGTTTAGGGCAATTACCCCCAAACTCAAACCCAGCTTTCCCTTTGTGATATGGAACCTTGCAGTATAATTTCATAAAGATCCATACACTTACACACAAGTTATTGTCCTGAAACTAGAAAAATGCTTGTTTTGTGGCCCTTTTATGGCCCCTAATTCCTAAAATTTTGAGGGAATTACCCCAAAATCAATCCCAGCCTTCCCTTTGTGGTATGGTACCTTGTAGTACAATTTCAGAGAGATCCATACACTTGAACACAAGTTATTGTCTGGAAACTAGAAAAATGCTTATTTTTGGCCCCTTATTCCTAAACTTTTTGGGCAATTACCCCCAAACTCAATTCCAGCTTTCCCTTAGTGATATGGATCCTTGTAGTACAATTTCAGAGAGATCCATACACTTACACACAAGTTATTGTCATGAAACTAGAAAAATGCTTGTTTTTTGCCCCTTTTTGGCCCCTAATTCCTAAAATTTGGAGGCAATTACCCCCAAAAATCAATCCCAGCATTCCCTTTGTGATATGGAACCTTGTGATACAATGTCAGAGAGATCCATACACTTACACACAAGTTATTGTCATGAAACTAGAAAAATGCTTGTTTTTTGCCCCTTTTTGGCCCCTAATTCCTAAAATTTGGAGGCAATTACCCCCAAAATCAATCCCAGCATTCCCTTTGTGATATGGAACCTTGTGGTACAATGTCAGAGAGATCCATACACTTACACACAAGTAATGTCTGGAAGTTAAAAAAATGCTTATTTTTGGCCCCTAATTTCTTAACTGTTGGTACCATAACCCCCAAAATCAATCCCAACCTTCCTTTTGTGGTATTGAACCTTATGGTAAAATTTCATAGAGATACATTCACTTAAACTAAAATTAGAGTGCGAAAACTAATGTGTCTTCGGACAACGACGCCAACGTCATACCAATATACGACCACAAAAATTTTTTTGCGGTCGTATAATAAAAAAATTTGTAAGGGTTCCGCGGAACCCAGTGTCTTGCCTACTTTTGCTGTTAATCGCAGGCTCAACAAAAATAAGGAAAAAATATTAATAAAAATATTCCTCTCTATACTATCTTTTGATTGTAAGTAGCTTCTGTCCAAGTTTTGTAAAAATCCAGGATAGTTTATGAATCTAATAAATGTTTTAAAAACTTAAACTGCAGACTGTATGTAATGTTAACTGGAAGAAAAACTAAGGCCATTTATAAGTAAAATACGGAAAAAATGGAACAAAATTTTAACAAAATTTCATTCTAGATACTAGCTTTTAATCATAAACAAGCTTCTGTCCAAGTTTGGTACAAATCCAGGATAGTTTAAGAAAGTTGTTAAAATTTTAAAAACTTTAACCACAGAGTGAATGTAATGTTAACTGGCAGAAAAACTAAGTCCATTTATAAGTAAAATACGGAAAAAATGGAATTTTGTTTTTACAAAATTTACTTCTGGATACTATCTTATGATCATAAACAAGCTTCTTTCCAAGTTTGGTACAAATCCAGGATAGTTTAAGAAAGTTGTTAAAATTTTAAAAACTTTAACCACAGAGTGAATGTAATGTTAACTGGCAGAAAAACTAAGTCCATTTATAAGTAAAATACGGAAAAAATGGAATTTTTTTTTTACAAAATTTACTTCTGGATACTATCTTATGATCATAAACAAGCTTCTTTCCAAATTTGGTAGAAATCCAGGATAGTTAAAGAAAGTTATTAAAATTTCAAAAACTTTAACCACAGAGTGAATGTCATGTTTCCTGTCAGAAAAACTAAGTCCATTTATAAGTAAAATACGGAAAAAATGGAATTTTTTTTTTACAAAATTTACTTTTGAATATTATCTTATGATCATAAACAAGCTTCTGTCCAAGTTTGGTAGAAATCCAGGATAGTTTAAGAAAGTTATTAAAATTTCAAAAACTTTAACCACAGAGTGAATATTTGTGGACGCAGCCGCCGACGACGGAATGTAGGATCGCTATGTCTCGCTTTTTCGACAAAAGTCGAAGGCTCGACAAAAATTAATCAAATATATAACTTATTCTTCTTTATCTTCATAGTGTACCTTCAAGCTTTTTTTACATATATATGGAAATAAATGCTCTATATCTAAAAGATAGCTGTAATACAACACCAAATAAGCATAAATATATGGGTTTAAGAACATCCGTTGTTCAACCTGCTAGTCAAATGCATTTTGTTAAAATACACTTTTTCACTGTTTTGGTCTTTTTGAAAATGTTGTTTGTGCTGTATTTAGACCCCTCTACCAAGAAATTTGCACACGTATAAAAATTGTGGTTTTTATCCAACCCAAATATAGGTTTGAACGTTGTTTTCAATTTAGACTGTCTTATATATATATATATATATATATATATGTATGTACCTTCAATCTTCTTTATACATTGTAATAAATGCTCTGTCATGTCTGTACGTACTTAACGATAGCTGACATGACACACCATGAACACCTAAAAAAACATGTGATTTTTGGAAATAAAATGACTTAGGGTTGGCGCTCAAAAGCAGGGTCGGTCAGGTAACCGTAAACAGACATATATTTTTTTTGGCCTTAGATGAATGAACTTTGCCACAATCATCATGACATTTTTTTTATTTATCATTCATTTCGTCAAAATGATTAATACAGCACTAAAGGAAACCTGTTTATGTTTTCAGAATGTCACTTTATTTTGAAACAATAAAAAAAAAACTTATTTATAGCAACAGACTGACTAAAACACTATTTAACATGTTAAATAATTATCATGATTATTCAACACAAAACCAAATAAAAAGGAAGCGAACAAACCCAGGGTGCTAATGTGTGGGGTGCGACATGATTTTGGGCAAACGGAACCCGGATTCGCAAAATGTGTGGGCATCATCGCTTCCAACACATATTGAGTGAATGGGTGAAAAAGTTTGATGGTATATAATAATGCAGAGGAATATTTGGGAAATTAAAATCTAATATAGTCATGATCACTCTCCCTGGACATGTGGGAGTCGTACCTGAATTGAAATTAGGAACCTACTGAACTATCAATTATTTCTAGATTACCCTGCAGAAATGACTATCCTGAAGAATGAAGATGCTTGATAGTGCAGTGATACAGGCACACCTTCTACATGCATATGTATCTGGTATATGACGTTATAAGGGAGTGTGTCATTGATGATCTTTTCCATTGAAAGACATAATTCGAGAAATACATGTAGCCTATTTTCTGTACTTATGTACATGTATATTACAAAGCAATCTAGATTGTTGGGGGTCCTTGTCAAAATTTTCCAGTCAGGACTGATGAAATTCAACATCTATGAAAGAAGTTAAAATAATTATGACCCCCTACCCAGGGGTTTCATTATCTTTCATGTTGACCGGTACATTCCTATTTGAAGGTGGTACTTTTCAATATATTCAATGAACATCTTATATAAAAATTTCTGAATTCAGGCGGTACATATCAGTAGCATAGGAGAGTAAAAGTACCGGGTACCGCCTCCTAATGAATGGCCTGCCTACCCCCCCAAAAAAAAAATCAAAAAACCCTCAGCAGACAGCATGATTATCTCAATATCTTAACCGCCTCGTTGGTCTCTTGGTACATGTAACATGTTCGCCTCGAGTGCATGAGGTAACAGGTTTGAACCCAGGCCTGGTCAACATGGTTAAATCAAACACTTTAAAATTGGTATTTACTGCTTCTCCGCTAAGCACACGGTATTAAGAAGTAAGAGCAAAGACTGGTCGGCTTAAAGTCAGAAAAATGTGTCAGAGTATTAAAGGGGACATGTCTTCCTGTGGACTGTTTTTTTGTGAACTACTTCAACTAGCAAGTTAAAAATCTGGCTCAGCGTGTCGGTTTAGTACAAAACAGGGTTAATATTCATATTACATTAACATGTTCTTGTCCTAAATATGCATATTAATTTGCCGCTGGATGGTAAGCAGTCATCCATCATTTTCATCTCAAATTATCTGTGGACTTCTCTGAAAGTAGCCAACACGTTTATAACAGGTCAGGAATAACCACCAATTGGTGGATTATACCTCAATTGATGTATAATCCACCAATTGACATATAATGGTATAGACCAATTGACGTATAATTCTTTGTTTTTCAAAGCAAATTATTCAACCAAAATGGAGCATTATTTTCGTAAAACCATATTATTGTATGAAAACATGTCAAACATTCCTAGTTTAGTATAGTGACATAACCTATTGCATTTAATCAATAAATGTATTTGCAGTTTCTTCTATTGTTATCTTGTCAATTATTGATTGGCAAATTTACCACTAATCACCGATCAATGGACATCAATACTGTCTGCAGTCATGTGATTATGAGTACAACTCCACAGGTGAATGGAGCTCTTTGTTAATACTTGACTTTCATTATTAAAAGTCAATCATGTTGTCAATAATGGTCAATAGTACAGATGTTTCAACAAAAGAATTGTTGTACACATGCATTCTCAAGAGATGCAGCAGGCTTTGACAAAACTGAAACTTTCGGAGGACCGTCAATAATGGTCATAAAATAGGTTGTAAGTTGCAAAATGATGCTCCTATCTCACACTGGCATTTTAAAACAAAAAACTTGCATTATACGTCAATTGGTCTATACCAATATATGTCAATTGGTGGATTATACGTCAATTGTCTTGAATTGAGGTATAATCCATCAATTGGTGGTTATTCCTGGCCTGTATAACTGTAACAAATAACTGTGGTGTCGAATGCATAGATTGGATCATGTTGTAATAATACTATATTGTAACATCAGGATATTTACCGTTGTGTAATTGATGAAACGATATTAAACAAAACAAAAATTCTCTTAACATGTAACTTTTGGAACAAAGATTGAAATTTGGCATCTTCTGGTTCCTTTGTCACTCAATATTCAAAATTTTGTACCAGTAATAAACACGTGACTAGGATTACAATATAAAAATGTCTGACGGGCAAAGTAAATCCGTATTTTGCTTACAATGATTTGAACATGCATACAAGAGGATCTGGTGGTTTAAACAGGATAGAGAATAATGGGGAAATACTACACAAAATCGGCATAAATGAAGATTGAAAATAGGCCAAAAAAAAAAAAAGAAGAAGCAGAATAGAGAATAATGGGGGTGCTTAAAAATAAAGAATAGAGAATAACTCAGTGGGCAGGCAACTCGGCACGATTTATAAAATTTAGGCTACATAAGGCCTGGGAACAGTATATCAATATATATGTTCCTGATAAGGCCAAGGAATTGTATATTTAAATATACTATTCCTTGATAAGCCTCATTTCCGATTTTCCATGTAAATGCCTCTGTGGGACCTTGATTCGAATAATGAATATTTGAATTACACTACTGAGATAGGTCTCGAATTTCCCGTCAATCATATTCTTTCTCCGGCACTCGATTTTCTCACCAGGTCGCATAAAGATGCCGCTAAAACTGCAATTTTATCATCGGATTTTGGTAAACTTAAGTACTAATATTCTGGAATATTTTTTTTCTAAATTGACTTAATCTACAAATTTATTTATTTTATTTTTATTAAAGATATCGATCCATCGATTTTAGATTAAGGGAAAACCTGTAAAATTAGCATTACTAACTTCAACAACAATATGAAGCACTAAATGAAAATTAGAATTTTATGGAAATATATACAACTCTGAAAGTATGGCTAAAAATGAAGAAAATAACCGCAAACTGTGTTTACCTTTTATATATTACATATACATAAAAGGAGATTTGACAATCGTCATTTGTACAGCAAACCAACGACAAAAATAACTAAAATACATCTATAGGACAACATACAGTCTTCAACAACAGACAGATGTCCATACACTGATAAGTTAAACTCTAAATTGTTGTTTCAATTACTTTACATGGAAGTGACTGAATGATATGTATGTAGGTAAAAACTAAACACTTAATTTTTTATTACTTATATGAACAAAGAAATATGAAACGTAAGAAAGAATGAATTGCTTCTAGGTACAAAAAATGATCATGTTGAAAAACGACCGAGAAGTGCATGTAACATCAGTTGCACAATCATATATTTTTATTTTCTTCCGAGACCTTTTTGGATTAGACTACATGCAGTTAGGACGTTGAAATATATGACAATGCGATATCAATCCTTCCTTTATCAAAATAATCTACACAAATTAAACAATAATTGCTGATAAAAAGTAAATTACATATAAAATCAACAAATCTGATAAATTTATCTTAACATCATGCAGACAATTTAACTTAGCTAGATATAATTCACTCAAACTATGTACAGAATGACCACTGTTTTCTCCGCCCTTTTGTTTACGGGCCTTTTTGTTTTTTCGGCAGATGCCTATACCCGATGCTGCGGACCTAAACAATGGACATCTGCAGTGGCCCAAGTAGTTGGTGAATACAATATAGGTGCCGACTATTACGGATTAAGTGAAGTTGACAACAGAGTTTATTATGACTTTCAAAACAAGAAGATTGCTTCTGTACAAACAGTGACAAACGAAACTGGTGACCAGCCTGTTATAACATACATCAAACAGATATTGGATTACAATTTAGTAAGTATTTTCCTTGTACATGTATAGTAATCTATAGGTAAAATCCTTGTTGCATGATTTAGAATATAAATATCGTGTAGAGATTATTTGATGTGTAAGTTTTTCGTCTTATTCGTGTTAAAAGTAAAATCACAAAAATACTGAACTCCGAGGCCTTGAATATTCAAAAAGGAAAGTCTCTAATCAAATGGCAAAATCAAAAGCTCAAACAAATCAAACGAATGGATAACAACTGTCATATTACTGACTTGGTACATGTATTTTCTTATGTAGAAAATGGTGGATTGAACCTTGTTTTATATATATATAGCTAGCTAAACCTCTCACTTGTATGACAGTCGCATCAAATTCCATTATATTGACAACGATGCGTGAACAAAACAAACAGACACAATAGGTAAAAATGTCAAAAATAGGGGTACAGCAGTCAACATTGTGTTATCACCTTAAACACTATAAAAACAAACAAATGTAATGAAGAAGCACAAAAAGGCATACATCAAATTAAACATCCTCATTTTGCTTTTTTATTATACGACTTTATTTATCTATGTATATCCACCCATAAAGGATGGAAAATTTTAATTACTGATGTACCAGTTAGGCTCCGACCATTCATGTTGATATTAACTGTTATTTTTTTTTGTCTTTTTTGGGGAAAAAAGGGGAAAGGGGGGGGGGGGGTATTTATTTAAATGAATTGCTTGATCTGCTAAAATATATATATATATAGTTTCAGAAAGGGATTGAAAAAAAAAATGGTTTGTTTCTATTGGAAATCGAGGAGAAAATAATAATAAAATGAAAACATTGGGTTTGAATTAAAATAAATTCTTGTTTCTGGATCGTATTAAAAAATAGTTTGAAAAAATATGAATGTTCGGTGCATATACCCTCCTTGCTTTTGTGCAGATATCCATATATAGAATCATTTCGTTATATTTTAGCGTCGATGGGACTCATCAAATATATATATAAAAAAGGAAAACTGGATATATATGGTTATATTTCAATGAGACTGCAACTCGAAAACACCATATAAGAAAAAGACATTTATAGGTCATTATACTGTAAATTCAGAAATTATTGCGATGTTTTTATTATTGCGAAAAATGCGATCGGGTTATAATCGCAATAATTTAAACTCGCATTTTGAAATTTTGTATATGAATTAAACAGGATTTTTCTCAACTATTATATCGCAAAAAATAAAATCGCATTTTAGTCTAAAATGACAAAATCGCAATAATAAATGCACGCAATAATTTCTGAATTTACAGTAACCATACCCACTTTACACTGTTCGCTTATACTTTTTGCAACCATGCATGCACGATAGACCAATTTTGAAAAAAACCATGCATTTAAAGGATTACCTAGTTGAGAGAATAAAGTAATATATTCATTCATTTTATCTATTCGTTGAAAAAAAATCAAAACGAATATATCCAGAAATTTTTTTTTTTACACTTTCAAACTTTAGCGTGGGTTAATTCATCTTATTCATTTGCATGCAATGCACCAGAAGAAACCGATTGTAAACGAGTGTAGTTAAACAGCAGTTTGACTCACCTTTTTATATCGATCTTCAGACCGAATTTTTAAGTCCTCTTTCTTATTTAGCTTTTTGAAATCTAAACATAATTAAAAGAAAAGGAAATGCAGAATTATTTCATTAACACATCATATGTTTTGATAATATAATCTTGCACGTTTGTGCAATATATATATTCTGTTCAATATTTGCCCGTATATTATATAACTTTTATACCTTGACTTTAATATGTAGAAGAAGACATGGACTATTGAAGGAAAGAACTGTACTACCACAGACTTAACTGAAGAAATACCATCGCCTTGTGTACCAGGTTTGGATCTATTTTACAAATTAACAAGAGGCTCTCAAGAGCCTGAATCGCTCACCTGTATTTCAGAGGAGAAGATTTTTAAATGTTAGCAAACTTGATGAACAAATTGTGTAAAATTGTCTTTAAAGGGCAATAACTCCTTAAAGGGTCAATTGACAATTTTGGTCATAATAACTTTTTTGTAGATCTAACTTTGCTGAACATTATTGCTTCTTACAGTTTATATATTCTATAATAATATTCAAAATAATAACAAAAAACTGCAAAATTTTGTTAAAACTACCAATTCGGTGGCAGCAACCCAACAATGGGTTGTTCGGTTCGTCTGATAATTTCAGGGCCGATAGATCTTGACTAATTAAACAATTTTACCCAGTGTCACATTTGCTCTAAAAGATTTAGTTTTTGAGATATAAGCCAAAAACTGCATTTGACCCTTATGTTCTATTTTTAGCCATGGCGGCCATGTTTGTCGATGGATACAAACTTCGGATACAATTTATAAACAAGATACCCTAAGGAACATTTAGTTAAAGTTTGAAGCAATTGGCCCAGTAGTTTCAGAGGAGAAGATTTTTAAATGTTAGCAAACTTGATGAACAAATTGTGTAAAATTGTCTTTAAAGGGCAATAACTCCTTAAGGGGTCAATTGACAATTATGGTCATTTTAACTTTTTTGTAGATCTTACTTTGCTGAACATTATTGCTGCTTACAGTTTATATATATCTATAATAATATTCAAAATAATAACAAAAAACTGCAAAATTTTGTTAAAACTACCAATTCGGTGGCAGCAACCCAACAATGGGTTGTTCGATTCGTCTGAAAATTTCAGAGCTGATAGATCTTGACCAATTGAACAATTTTACCCCATGTCAGATTTGCTCTAAAAGCTTTAGTTTTTGAGATATAAGCCAAAAACTGCATTTGACCCTTATGTTCTATTTTTAGCCATGGCGGCCATGTTTGTCGATGGATCAAAACTTCAGATACAATTTATAAACTAGATACCCTAAGGAACATTTAGTTAAAGAAGGTATTTGGCCAAGTAGTTTCAGAGGAGAAGATTTTTTAAATAGTTTATGACGACAGACGACGACAGGCGACGACGACAGACGACGACAGACGACGGCAGACGACGACAGACGACGACGACAGACGACGACGACAGACGACGGACGACGACGGACGCCAAGTGACGGGCCCACTAAACCCTACTTTTCTTTTCATAATTTTATAACATATAGTTTAAAAAGCCATATTTGAAAATCTTGTAAAATCCTTGTTATTTTTTCGTAGTTTTTGATAGAAAAACAGTTTTTTCGTAGTTTTTGATAGAAAAACAGTGCCAATGGTAATAGTATGAAAAATCTAGAGAGCATCATTTCCCGCCAAATTTTCAACGGCTTATATCTAAAAAAAACAAGCACACGGACCCTTCATTTTTTCTGCTTTTTTAGTTCCGTTATTTATATACTATCAATTTATAACAGTCTTTTAAAAAGCTTGTTATTTTGAAACAGAGTAGCGAACATCCTTAAAGAAGCTGAATCTTTTTTTTAAAGTTAAGGACACACCAACCCGATCTACCTCCATTTTTGGAGAAATATTAATTTATAGAATGGCCTTATCTAATTCCTTATGTCTCGTCTACGATAGAAGGGGACATTATGTTTTCCAATCTGTGTGTCCGACCGTCCATCCAGTACCAGATTAAATTAGGTATTTGGTTAAGGTAGTTGCCATGCAGTTATTATGGTCATTTCAACATGAAACTTGGTACACATCTTCATTCAATTGTATATCAAACGAGGGATTTCACTTTGAGTTCACTGAACATAAAAATATAGAGTGAGCGGGGCATGAATTAACATAAAGATAAAGTCGAGCGGGGCGTGGTGTCATATGTACACATATTATACTTGTTTATCCTGTCTAGTGACATTATTTGTTAGGCAAATACATGCACATGCACATGTATACACATAGGTTCAGAGTCGAAACGATCTCTTTCGCTCTTTCTTATTTTGTTTTATTTTTTTTGTTTCAAAATCCTTGCTCTATTTGGTATCAAATTCCCACATTTATTTTTACAATTTATTGATTAAGCACACAAAATCTTAGTATCAGATACGTCCAATATTTTATGATGTTTTGAATATGTGATCGTTTACTTAGATTGAGATCTTGCAATTAGTACAGCCGTCCATACAAATCATCTGCACAGTGAACGACTATTCTTACGCGTTTGTAGACAGAAGACATATAAGTGTTCTTAAAGTTAATGTTTGCGAATTATGGTGATGTGATGGTGTTTGGTCATTAAATCACTAATGTATTTCTAAGGAACAACAACAGAATATTTAGCGCTAGCTTTACTGTAAAAGTGCTCTTATCTCGATTATTTCGTTCTTCCTATTATATAGATATATGATAATGTAAAATTAAGGGACCGGTCACTATTTATCTCCAGGGGTGGGGTGGGGGTCATGAAAAAAATTGAATTTGATAGAGGGGATCTATCTTTTTCAGGTTGATGAAGTAGGGGGGTCATGATTTTATTTGCCATAGATTCATTGATCGCCATATACCATCCATGACCATAGACTATACATGTATTGTTGTTTGGGTCCTTCAGAGCTAACTTGTCTCCTAGTTTGACTCTTTCACAAATATCAAACTGTCACTATCAGTGATCTAGCTAGAGCTACTCACTTTACTCTTTGACTAATTGTTTTGTCAAGTGACTAATGAATATTACCAAAAAAAATGTGCAAAATTAGTCACTTTTCTTATGTTCTTCTTAGCCATGATGTTATAGGACTAAGAAACTAGGAATAGAGACTAAAAAATTGGTTTCATAATCTTGGCTTCACCACAGCAAAAGTAGACTTTGCTTTTTGAAGGTGACACTATTTTTATTTTTCAAGATGAACTCATGTATTTTACAAACTGTTGTTTTATGTGTACAAAAAATATTATATAAAGACATTTTCAAAGCATTTTCTTCTTATTTTTATTCCATATCTTAAATATACCTCATTTAGATTTCCAATATAAATAAATATATGAATGATTTGTTCATTGTTGAAGACACTCCGTCTTCTGTCAGAGTAGAGAGCGACAATGTGGAAATGAATCATTTATAAGAAATTAATGAAAGGACAGGAAAAGCTTCATTTCAACATCTCTAACTTAAAAAAAGACACCCTGACATTCTGTATGAATACAATAAAAAGTAATGCTCAGATATCAAACAAAGTTCAATCTTTTTACTCTTTAAAACTGTAAATGACAAAATCATAATTAAATACTAGTTACTAACTATGTATTTGCATTCGGGTATCACAGATCAAATTTATTCGTTCAATGTGTGTTAATTTACGTTTTTTGATTGAGTTAAGCCTTCCAATTGATATTTTATAGTGTGTCTTATAATAATATTTTAATATAAACTAATTGTTGATATTAAAGTACATTGCATTGTATTTATGGCAAAAATTCTTGACACTATTTCTTCAAACAATGGGCATTTGGCTTGTTAAAGACTGTGAAGTTACATCAATAAGGGTATCCTTGTATCGGATGTTGTCCTCAATGCATTCTCTGTGTAACTATGTGTATTAATATACCTTACTAGGAATATTAGCAACATATAATAATTGAATTATTTGAAACCTTTCAATTATAATCAGAAAAGAGAGGGGGGTCAACAGTTTTTATGTAGTTGAAAGAGGGGGGGGGGGGGGAGTTAATTTTTTAACACATTTTGAAAAGGGGGGTCAATCATATTATATCATTTCAAATTTACATTTTGCCTCCCACCTCCCCCCTTGGAGATAAATAATGACCGGTCCCTAAGAATTACATTTATATGTCTAATGTCTAACGCATGCGTCAAGCTATAGGGTGTTTTCATTTTGATTTCAGAGTTTGCCTCACACATCGGTTCTGAAATGCTAATCAACGAACCTGTGGATGTTTGGTTTATGAAGGTTGGGAAGACAAGCACACATCGAGTCACACTAACGCAAAAAAACTGTATCCCTGTTTCATCGTCTGCACTAACAGATAAACCTAAATATGGTAATGAAAATAGTAGTTGTTGCAGTCACTAGCATATAAATACTACTTCATGTTAAGAATTATATTTGTGTCTGGGAGACTTCTTATGGGTTTTTGTAAAAAAAAAAAAAAAAAAAAAAAAAAATACAGAATATTTTTAATATCCCGCAAGTTGGACTAGAAATGCATGATGTATCATATAAGCTATACTATCAGGTTTTTGAATTTGATTTCGAAACTGCTGTCCCTTTTTCCTCTTGAATCTGGGTTGACAAATATACTCACACCACGAAAAACACAAAAGACAACACATGGTACTCACAGAAGAAATATTTAAAACGAAACAGATTGCGTGAGCAGGGGAAAATGACAGTCCATTTGTACTGAAGTTCTAGAAATGAGAATGGACTAGTGTTTTTAATTACACAAGACCCACGGTGATTTACATCTGGATATTTTGAATGTGGAGAAAAATTAGTCCGGTCTACAATAGTTGACGACAGTATTGTGACCTCTAAATAAATTTTCTGTTTTGGTCTCGTTGGGTTGCTGTCTCATTGACGTGTACCCTACATCTCCCTGTGTGCGTACTTGGATTTCAAAATAAGTGGTAGAAGAATAAGAATAACAAATATATTACATTCCGAGTTGATTTTAAACGTGAAATAAAAATTGAATTCATTTTGTAATATGATACAAATTGAATCTTTAAGATATTACTGCTTTAATTCTTTCTTATCATTTTTTGTTTGCATGTTTTTACAGATTTTGTTACGACCGTTAATTTGTACCAGAACATTACAGTAGGGCCTATAGATCCACAGATTTTTCAGATTCCAGCATTTTGCAAGAAGAACTCTATACACATACAAGTATGTATACCGAATAGCATTATGAGAATAGAGTATCATTACTATGTAACAAAAATTAACTATTTCCCTCCGATAATTTGAGGACCGCCACCACGAGTTGATTGACCGTTATAGAATGTATGTTTCACAGATGACAACGGATATGTTCAGATTGTCGTAGCCTCAATACTGTCTTCTTTTCCTCGAATATGCCATACCGAATTGCACTTATCACACATGAGCAACATGACAGGTGCAACTAGTGGAGCAGGATCTGCTTACCTTTCCGGATCACATGAGATCAACTCCAGTTTTTGTTTGGGTTCGTGTTGCTCAGGCTATAGTTGTCTGTGTGTTGTTCTGTACGCTGTTGTTTGTCTTTTGGTCTTTCTAGTTTTTTTGACATGGCGTTGTCAGTTTATTTTCGACTTATGAATATGAATATCCTTTGAAATCTTTCGCCTTTCGATTAGTTCAATAAGTCTACCCATTTTATACAGTTGTTTCATAAATGACTTACAACAAACAAGAAAGCTATTTCCTGATATTTTGAAGGTTATTTTGAATAAAATGTATAATTTTAAAGCAAAACGTGGACTAAGCCATTTCGACAGACATATAGATGTATACTAAACATGTAACAACTCAAATTTACGACAGACATTCTCCATTGGATAACCCGACCATGGTTACAAAGGGCTAAGACAAAGTATATTGATATATACATGTATATATAATAGAAAAACAAAGGATATGGGGTATCCATGCATGACACAAAATCAGAACATGCACAGCAAAAACACACTAAAAGCACAGAAACCGCGCTTCTATTGCTGGCCTTCATCTCAAAGTCATAATGAGGCCTTAAACACGGAGCAAAAACAAAAAACAAAAACTCTCACCTCACTGCATGCAAGTTTAAGACGGCCCAAAACACCGGATTTTGTGAAATTCTTAGCAAAAATAAAACTTAATTTTTTTGTTAATGCACATGGTACATGCAGTTTTATTTTGTCGGTCAATTTCAAACATTTATTCTGATTGCAAGATGTATACAGATTACGCTGGTATAGTTTTAAGTTTTTTGACGCGGATATAAATTAAGTTGATCAGCGTGTTTTTTTCCATTCATGCGTCCGTTTTGCACTTCGTATCATCAGCAACACGGTCTTACTGAGTTAAATATAGATGGCAACAAAAACGTTGTATTTCTAGTCGCAACCTATGAACGATTGTGCCATCGGACCCACGAATGTTCAAAGTTAAACGGACTTAACGGTCAAATCACACCCGCTTCGCTAAACTATACAGCGTAAACTGAAAACTAGCTTTTTCACATCTATTTACTGTTAGATTATATTTCATATGAGTAGTATTGTTTGTTATTGATCATTTTTGTTTTTATTTACTATATTGTATTTCAGAAGAAACCATTGCGTGTTCCCACTGTTCCATGGTTGTACTAGTAGATGATATCAACATGTAAATGACAGACACCATGGATTTGACCGGAAATTTAATCTATTAGCTTTTTGTATTTTTTATTTAATCAAAATTTAATGTATTTTCAACTTACAAATTTTTTATACAGCAAACATATTAAGATTTTATGGAGAAAATAAATAAATATCTATACAATTATTGATTCATTCTAATTTAAATGTCTTGTCGATATGTATATATCTTTTCCCCCGTGAAATATCTGGCAATGTCTTTTCCTCGGTGAGATAACTGACAAACTATTTCTCTCGGTGAGATAACTGACAAACTATTTCTCTCGGTGAGATAACTGACAAACTATTTCTCTCAGTGAGATATCTGACAAACTATTTTTCTCAGTGAGATAACTGACAAACTATTTCTCTCAGTGAGATATCTGACAAACTATTTTTCTCAGTGAGATATCTGACAATGTCTTTTCCTCAATACTTGTTGTTGTCTTGACAAATAAATGTTGTGTACAAGTTGTATAAATTATTTTTCGCCCACAATGTTTGTACAGATTATCAGTTATTAGCGAACCTCATATAATTTCATGCAACAAGCACGCCGTTATTGGTTAAGCTTATCGCTGTCACATTTGAACGACTACATCTTTTATCCTCATACACAATACATAGTGCTGATACAAAATTTGTATACATACATAAGTTAAATTGGGGTACTAGAATCTGGTTTTTATGAGCAAAAGTATATTTATAGAAAACAAACAATCTGGTGTTCTTATTTGCAGTTATATGCCAAAGAAGACAGTTCTTAATGTATGTAAATTTATGAGAAAAAAATCGCTGAATTATTGAAAATAAACTGAAGACCGTACTTTGACCTATAATGGTTTACTTTTATAAATTTTGACTTGGCTGGAGAGTTGTCTCATTGGCACTCATACCACATCTCTGCATCACCTGGTGGAAAAAAAGACGGATGTTAAAATAATGATAACTTGTACAAAAATTCTTTAATATCAGTGACAATACACCTACCTCATGAAATTGCAGTAAATCCGAATACATTTATGGCCCCAGTTCCCATGTTATAACAGGAGACCTTAACATCGTTCGTGACCGAGAGTTGAAATCATTCCTCAGTAAAGGACCTAAATATCGTCCCCCGTCAATTATTAATTGGAATGAGTGTCGTAACATCATCCACGACTCACTCCGCACTTACTGCTCTAAATGGATAAAACGAGAAAAAGCTGACAAGAAATCATTAGATTCTTTTTTTAAGTCGGTAATGAACATAGTTGATATACATATTCAACATTTTAAAGATAATTTTACTCCTAACAACAACCATGATAGCCCAATTTCCCGTATCAAACATAAGCTAAAAATACTCGTCAAGGAATATATTTTGGTCCCGGCTGATAAGGCTGCCAACAATATCATTATTGTTTGACGTAAATTTTACATTGATGTTCTACAAAAGGAAATCACGCATTCACCAACATTCCAACTGACTCCATTTTCGGAAAATGACATCTGTAACAAACATAAACTTTTAGCTACCTCTTTACAAGCAGAACCAAATACAATGAAAGTTCCAACTATGTACTGGCTTCCGAAGCTGCATAAAACTCCATACAAATATAGATATATTTCGTCTTCAAGCCATTGTTCCACTACTAAACTATCTATTCTACTTACTAGTACACTTGGTACAATCAAAAACCTGGTAATAAATTGTTCAAATAAGGCCTTTGAAAATAGTGGAATTAATTACTTTTGGAGTGTCAAAAATTCGTTGGAAGTACTTGATAAATTGCATGCTTATATTGGTGATTTCGAATCTGTTCAAAGTTTTGATTTTTCTACCCTATATACCACGTTGCCTCATAATCTTAGTAAGAAAAAATTCACACACCTGATTAAATGGGCATTTAAAAAGTCTGAATGCGATTATATATGTTCAAACTCTTTTAGGTCATTTTTTAGTAACAACAAACAAAAGAACTATGTCAATTGGACCTGCTTTGATACTATAACTGCCCTTGAATTTTTACTAGATAACATTTTTGTTCGCTATGGAGATTCCGTATATCGTCAGGTTGTCGGAATTCCCATGGGGACTAACTGTGCACCACTTATTGCGGACCTGTTTCTGTATTGTTATGAGTTACAATTTATGACTAAAATCAGCAAAGACCCATCAAAACAACATCTGATTCAAAAATTTAATAACACTTTTATATTAGATATTTAGATGATCTATTGGCTCCCAATAATGACGACTTCAGTATGTACACTAAAGAGATTTATCCTGCCGAACTTAATTTATATAAAGCTAATACTAACAATGAACACTGCCCTTTCCTGTATCTTGATATCTTTATCTTTAACGGGAAGCTTAATACCAAAATTTATGATAAAAGATATGATTTTTCATTTTTTTTTATTGTTAATTATCCATTTTTAGATGGTGACGTTCCCTTGTCGCCATCTTATGGTGTTTATATATCTCAACTTGTTCGATTCGCTCGTGTATGTAACAACGTATTTGATTTCAACGAAAGAAATCTCTGTATTACTGAAAAATTATTACACCAGGGTTTTCGATATCACAAACTAGTCAAAACATTTACTAAATTGTATCATCGGTACAAGTATTGTGATGGTATTTTAGATGTTTTTATAACCCAACGATTGTAAAGCACTGTGGCACAATCTAGGGGGAGGCTCACGGTAGGAGGCCGGAAACAGCAACGGGAAAGAAAACCAAACTAAAATATCAAGAAACTCGCTATTAATTTAATAAAGAAAACATTGAAATAATTACAATATAATTTCAAAGTACACATTTTGAAGTCACAATAAGTTGAAAATAATGATAAAAATACTACAAACAATTCAAGTTAAATACCAAATAATAACAATGATAATTACTGTTAAAATAAACCTCTGAATTAAAATATTAGTTACTTATAAACTTTATTTATTTTTCAAAATTAAATTAAAAGAAAAATAATTTTAAATCTAAATTATTTTCAAAACCAAGAGACTCACCTAAAATATCAAGAAACTCGCTATTAATTGTATAGCGGCTTGATCAGTTTATATACTAAGTTTTGAATGTTTTAGTAACCCTTAACTGACTATAACAAACAAAAGAATTGATGATTTATGAGTTATCAATAAAATTTAGAATGGTCAAATATAGTTATGGTCTAAGATTATGTCGAAATTACACGTCACATAAAACTGGTTTTTCTTTCATCTCTTCAATTTCTTATTCTAAAATTGCCAATTTATGTTTCGAATATATTTATTACCATTTCCCTAATTATAATATAAAACAATTACAACGTAAATCCATATAACATAGTATAAAATAACATTATAAATATTAATCCGGATCTTAATCAAAAGTAATTATGGAACTAGTGTGTGCTTTATAGCTTAACACCAATAAAGCTGCTGATGTGAGTTGACCGTTGTCTGAACTTTTAAGATGTTTTATTAACTTTGCTGGACATATAATCAAAGGTCCATTTGGCCACAGCTGAAGTTTCATTGCACAGATACGTTCAATAGTTTGTTAAAGTATTTATTTGACATGTTTGAAATATCCTACGCTTTGAAAATGTATAGAACAGTTAAACAATAATTTTGTATAAAATAGTTTACAGAGTAGAACTTACATACATTAACTAATAAACTATACGAAATAAAATAAACTGCATTTTTCTATTACAATACAAGGACATCATTCGTAAATATAAATCAACATGATGCAGACATCTTATACGTTCAGGTATTTCACATCCAATATTTTATGGTAATATTCTTTACAAAGCACAAAAATGTCGGAATTCACCTCAAAAGCTAACCAAACCTTTAAACAGACTTATTCGGAAAGGATATAGTTACGATACTGTTGTCAAGTCATTAAGGATTGCATATTTTGGTATTAATATTGATTCACTCATAGGGTCTTTGCATCGGAAATAAACACATTTATTCTAAAACCAGTTGTTGGCATGATACGGGTTATGTTCTTCTCATATGTTTTATGATGGTATGATACTAAACCGCTAACGGGAGGGATTGTACTTGATTTTCATATGATGAAGACATAATCTTTCAATCAGTTTAATTGAGGTCTGGAGCTGGCATGTCAGTAACTGCTAGTAGTCCTTTCTTCATTTATGTATCATTGTCATATTGCTTTGTTTCTTTTGTTACCTATTCTGACATCGGACTCGGACTTCTTTTAAACTGAGTTTTACTGTGCATATTGCTATGTGTTTCATTATTCTACATTGGCTAGATGTATAGGGGGAGGGTTGAGATCTCACAAAACATGTTTAACCCCGCCGCATTTTTTGCGCCTGTTCCAAGCCAGGAGCCTCTGGCCTTTGTTAGTCTAGTGTGTTTTTTAATTTTAGTTCATTTATATGTTTTGGAGTTTAGTGTGACGTCCATTTTCACTGAACTAGCACACAACTTTAGTTAGGGGCCAGCTGATGACCACCTCCGGGTGCGGGATTTTCTCGCTGCATTGAAGACCCATTGGTGGCCTTCGGCTGTTGTCTGATCTTTGGTCGGGTTGTTGTCTCTTTGACATATTCCCCATTTCCATTCTCAATTTTATTTACATATTATAATTTGTACAAATTTCCAACTTGCGCACACACACACACACACATGTATAATCAGATATCTCATTGAGAAAAATATATTTTCAGATATCTCATTGAGGAAAAGATATTGTCAGATATCTGTTTGAGAAAAAATTCTTGTCAGATATCTGTTTGAAAACGATTTCTTGTCAGATATCTCTCTGATGGAAAAAAATTGTCAAATATTTCACAGGAGAAAAGATGTTTGTCAAATATCTTTTTGAGAAAAATGTGTTGTCAGATATCTCATGGAGGAAAAGATATTACCAGATACTTCACGGAGGAAAAGATATTGTCAGATATCACATGGAGGAAACGATATTGCCAAATATCTCATGGAGGAAAATATATTGCTTAATACTTCACCGAGGAAAAGATATTGTCAGATATCTCATTGAAAAAAATATATTGTCAGATATAATATGGAGGAAAAGATATTACCAAATACTTCACCGAGGAAAAGATATTATCAGATATCTCATTGAGACAAATATATTTTCAGATATCTCATGGAGGTAAA